TGTTAGTTCTTTTAGCAGTCCATGGTACTTTCAGCATTCTTCTCCAGCACCACAACTGAAAAGCATCAATTCTTCTTCGGTCTTCCTTATTCATTGTCCAGCTGTCACATACATACAAGGTGATTGAAAATATCATAGCTTGTGTCAGGCACACCTTAGTCCTCGAGGAGACATCCTTGCTCCTCAGCACTTGAAAGAGGTTCCTTGCAGCCATCTTGCCCAGTGCTGTATATCATCCAATGTCCTGACTGCTGCTTCCATTGGCATCAATTGTAGAACCAAGCAATGTGAAGTCTATGATAACTTCAATCTTTTCTCCATTTATCATGATGCTGCTTATAGTCCAGTTGTGCAGATTTTTGTTTTCTTTATATTGAGATGTAATCCAAACTGCAGACTGTATTCTTCAATCTTCATCAGTAAGTGCTTCAAGTCATCCTCACTTCGACAAGCAAAGTTGTGTCATCAGCGTATCACAGGTTGTTAATTATTCTTCCTCCAATCTTGATGCCACATTCTTCTTCATATAGTCCAGCTTCTCGAATTACTTGCTCAGCATACAGATTGAATAAGTATGGGGAAAGGATACAATCCTGACGCACTCCCTTCTTGGTTTTAAACCATGTAGTGTCCCCTTGTTCATTTCTAACAACAGCCTCCTGGTCTATGTACAGATTCCTCATGAGCACAATCAAGTGTTCGGGAATTCCCAATCTTCTCAGTGTCATCCACAATTTGTTATGATCCACACAATCAAATGTCTTTGCATAGTTAATAAAACACAAGTAAACATCTTTCTGGTATTCTTTGCTTTAAGCCAAGATCCATCTGACATCAGCAGTGATATCCCTTGTTCCATGTCCTCTTCTGAATCCAGCTTGCACCTCTGGAAGTTCTGTCAATATACTGCTGCAATCGTTTTTGAATTATCTTCAGTAAGATCTTACTTGCATGCAATATCAATGATATTGTTTGATAATTTCCACATTATGTGGGATCCACCTTTCTTTGGAATGGACACAAATATGGATCTATTCCAGTCATTTGGCCAGGTAGCTGTCTTCCAAATCTCTTGGCATAACCAAGTAAGTGCCTCCAATGGAGCATCTGTTTACTGATGAAGATTGAGGAGCACAGTCTGTAGTATGGATTACATCTCAATATAAAGAAGACAAAAATCCTCACAACTGGACCAATAAGCAGCATCACGATAAATGGAGAAAAGATAGAGGTTGTCAAAGAATTCACGTTGCTTGGTTCTACAGTTGAGGCCAATGGAAGCAGCAGTCAGGACATTAGACGACATGTAGCATAGGATAGGTCAGCTGCAAAAGAACTCTTTCACGTGCTGAGGAGCAAGGATGTCTCCTTGAGGACTAAGGTGCGCCTGACACAGGCCATGATATTTCCAGTCACCTCATATGCATGTGAGAGCTGGACAATGAATAAGGAAGACCGAAGAAGAGTTGATGCTTTTCAGTTGTGGTGCTGGTGAAGAATGCTGAAGGTACTATGGACTACCAAAAGAACTAACAGATCTGTCCTGGAAGAAGTGCAGCCGAGATGCTCCCTGGAAGCGAGAATGGCCAGACTTCATCTCACCTACTTTGGTCACGTTGTCAGAGCGGACCATTCCCTGCAAAAGGATGTCATGCTTGGTAAGGTGTAGGGTCGATGAAAGAGGGGAAGGCCTTCAATGAGATGGATTGACATGGCGGCTGTGACAGTGGCCTCAAGTATAGCAAGGATCATGGAGCTGGCACGGGATTGGGCGGTGTTTCCTTCTGCTGTGCATGGGGTCGCTATGAGTCGGAAGCGACTCGACAGCACCTGACAACAACAACAGGTTCTTCCATGAACTTTATAGTTTCAGGTTTTGTAGTCAAGTCTTTGATCCATTTTTAATTAGTTTTTGTGAAGGGTGTAAGGTGTGGCTCCTGTTTCATTTTTCTGTGAATAGGTATCTAGTTTTATTAGAATCATTTATTAAAGAGACTATCTCTTCCTCATTTAATGGATTTAGCCCTTTTTTGAAGATCAGCTGTCTGTCCCTAGATAGATGGGTTTACTTCTAGGTTCTCAATTCTGTTCCACTGGTCTGTGTATCTGTCATTGTACAGGTGCCAGAGTGTTTTGACTGCTGTGGCTGTTTAATAGATTCTGAGATGGAGAAGTGTGAGGGTTCCTACTTTGTTGTTCTTCAGTAATGTTTTACTTACCTGGAGCCTCTTTCCTTCCCATATGAAGTTGGTGATTAGTTTTTCCATCTCATTAAGGAAAGTTGTTGGAATTTGGATCAAGATTGCATTATATCTATAGATTGCTTTCAGTAGAATTGACATTTCAACAATGTTAAGTTTTCCTATCCGTGTTTTTTGTTTTATTTTTAATTTATGTAGGTCTTGTTTGGATTTCTTAGAGTAGCGTTTCATAGTTTTCTTTGTATAAATTTTTTATGTCGCTAGTTAGATTTATTCCTAATGCAAAATTGGCATGTGACAGTCTCTGACCTCTTCTAATGTCATAAGAGGGGAGAAGGATCAAGATCAATAGCCCAAGGCTGACTCCTGTGAGACAGAGGTCGGACACTGTCTATCCTTTTTACAAGTGTGACATCTACTCTACCTCTCATGGCACTCTCTACTTCTCTGCTGGGTTCAATAATTTGTAGCACTGGCCACACAGAACTCACACACAGTACTCACGGTTATGGAGTTTATTAGGGACATGACAGGCTACAATTCAGGATCAGGAACAACTGAGGATACAGTTCTTCATTCACGACAGCCTCTTCTCAACAGTGCCTCTCTCTGGCCGTTGACCTTTTGGCTCCGCAGTCCCTTGGCTTCTGTTCTGCTCAGGCAAGTGTTACAAAGCTCTTTTAGCCCTGCAGTAAATGCCTAGAAGCACCCTATTCCACCAGCAAACTTCAGCCCAGTGGCACTCAGTTTTCTTGCTCCATGCATTTGAAAGCCCCCTACACTGTCTCCTGTCAAGTCTGCTGCCACTGTTTTCTCTGTTGCTGCTTCTCTCCATCTCAGCAAAGTTCTACCACTCTCTCTCTGTCTCCTGGGTTGAGGAGGTTCAGGGCAGGGAGCTCAGGTTCAAGGATATGTTCCACTCCTGGCTCTTCTTTCCTGATGGTAGTAAGATTCCTCTTTTCCATCTCTGCAAAACTGACCAATCCCCATGTTAGAGTTTCATACACCTTATTTGTGGGCCACAAGCACTTCACATTTGCATAGTCCTAACCAGTCTTCTAGTGGGAGTTACAAAGACCATGGCTAGAAAGGCCATACCAAGCAATTTACTCCAGTGCATCCAAGTATTTTATCTTTTAGGGGGCTATTGTAAACAGTATTGCTTTCCTGATTTCCTTTTTGGGCTTCTGTCTGTTAGCATAGAGGACTCCAACTGAGTTTTGTGATTTGGGTGAAAGTTTACAGAGCACATTCATTTTCCATACAGCAGTTCATGTGCATTTTGTTTCATGACATTAATTGCAATCCCCATAATGTAACAGTTCATTTCCCACTTCCTCTCTGTAATTACCTTTTCCTTGTGTCCTTTCCTATGCATTCCTGCCTTTTGAACTACCTCCCTGTGCAAACACTACCCTTCTGATCTCCCATGGTTGACTTTTCTAAGGAGTGTACCTACTGGGTGTAAATGTTCACCTTATATGCCTGTCTGTTTGGCTGGAAACCACAGGAATGAGTTCAGTTCCAGGCCTCAAGGGTGACTAGGGTCTGTATTCCGTCAGACCAGTAAGCCTGGTCTTTTTATGAATTTAAGTTTATTGCACATTTTTCTCCCACTCTATCTAGGATCTCCTGCACTGATCCCTTTCTGTATTGTTGACAGTGGTAGCTGGGCACCATCTAGTGCTTCTGGTCTTGTGGTCATATAGGCTGAGGTTCACATGGTCCACTAGTCCCTTGGACTAATTGTGTCCATGTGTCTTTGGATTTCTTCATTCTTTGCTCTGGACAAGGAAGACCAATTGTTGCATCTAGATGGCCACTTGCAAGATTTTCCTAGTCGATACTCACCAAAGTAGATTACAGATCAATGTTTTTATATAGTATATTACACAAGTTGAGCTTGATGTCCCCTGCAGCCATGGTCCCTTGGGTTGGTTTGGCTGTGGCTAAGAAGTTATTGTAACTTTGTCCCCTGTTCTATTTATATGGACATTCTTATAGCACAAACAAATACGTGTGTAGAAATATTGTCTGCCAGCCTTATATATGGTCATAGGTATATTCTCTTTTGTCTAGACATACCTGATGATTCAACCTGTCTACCTATGTGTCTACTCATAAATGAATGTTTGTTATTACTGATAATGCAGTATTGTGTATGTAAGTGTTTCTTTTTGGACTCCAACTGATTTTTGTATGTTGATCTTATACCCTGCCACTTGCTAGATCCTTCTATTAGTTCTAGTAGCTTTCTTGTGGATTCTCTGGGATTTTCTGTGTAGAAAATCGTATTATCCTTAGCTACTTGGATGCATTTTATTTCCCTTTCTTGCCTTATTGCTCTAGCTAGGATTTCCTGTACAATTTGAATAAGAGTGGCATCCTTGTCTGGTTCCTATTTTCAAGAGGAATGCTTTTAGTCTCTCTGCTGTTGGCTGTTGGCTGGCTTTTTGTTTTGTTGGAGCTATAGGTTCTTATTATGTTTGACATTCTCTCCCTAGATCTTTCACAAACAGGAAGAGAACATTTTCTCTCACTTCCCATCTTTACATGTCATGTGACTAGACTGTTCTGAGGCTGCTCTGCCCCACCCAGAAGCAGTTGACTTCTTGCAGAGTGGAAATCATTTCATCTGTTGTCTGAGATTTGGCGGGGGGAAGAAGGGGTGGTGCCAGCTTTTACCAGACCGGTGTGGCTTTCCTTGTGAGTGCTGTGCTATTACTAAGCAGACTTCATTGAGGGAGTTGAATTCCCTGTCCTCTAACCTCTGATCTCTACAACTTGACTCTTTCCTAGGGCGTAGATCAAAGCCCAAAGCCTTTAATTATTGGCCCAGAGGAAGATTATGACCCGGGTTATTTCAACAACGAGGTAACAGTTTCCTTGTTTTCTCCTTTCATCATTCTTCAGTCGTACAAGCTGCTGTCCACTAGAGCAGTTTGACTGGTGTCAGCTTGGAAGAGAGCATGGGGGAGGGTGACACAGCTTATAAACCCTGGAAGGTGGATGATACGGGAGCTAAGCTGGAGCAGGCTGGGTTTCTGTATACTGTCTCTGTGCCTCACAGCCATATACATCCTTCTGCCTTCCAGAGTGACATCATATTCCAGGATCTTGAAAAACTGAAGTCACGTCCAGCTCACTTGGGAGTTTTTCTACGTTACATCTTCTCTCAGGCGGACCCCAGTCCACTGGTAAGTCAGAAGCATCAGACTTGATTGCCTGCTTGTGCTTGCCAAAAAGACTTAGTAGCCTCTATCTTTGCTCTCTGGGTGTTACAAGTCAGACCCTGGATTGGCATCCCTTTTTTTTTTTTTTTTTTTAGTGTCTATGATACAGTTAGGGAGCTCTGGTAGCATAGTGGCTAAGATACTTGCCTGCTAACCAGACGGCTGGTGATTCAAACCCACCAGCCACTCCTCAGAAGGAAGGTTGGGCAATCCTACTTCCGTAGTGATACTGCCTTGGAAACCCAAGGAGGGGTCGCTATGAGTCGGGTTTGACTCGATGGCACATAACAACAACAACAACAACAACAACAATGATACAGTTAATGACATCATTAGCGTAGGGAGGAGAGAGAGAGCTAGGGCAGGAAAACTGTCATTCTTGATGAGTTTTGGAAGGCTTCTTTGAGAAGATGAGCTTTCTAGAGTTTTTTGAATGAAAGTGGATGCAGGCTGATGGTGAGGAGGTGAGAGAATGGCCTTTGCAAATACACAATGTTACTACAATAAAGTTTGGCAGAGGGGCCAGGCGATGACAGGTTTTGGAGTCGAAGGTGAAGACAAGGGAACATGAGGGATGGAGGCTGGCGTATCCTGAGGCGGTGCTCAGAGCAGCAGCCTTACCAGACCTTCTAGTGTTGCTCAGCTGCTAACAAAGCAAGGGAAGCCGGGGAAGAAAAGTTAATGTCATGATTTTCAGAGTAAATTTCTTGTCCAAGGCATGGACTGCTATTTTTTTCTTTCTGGAACTATCACCATCACAAGCCAGAATGAATATCCGTTTGTTTAACAGATTGTTGGACACCTGTGTGTAAGTCCCATGTGCAGGTGTCTCAGAAGCATTCCTGAATGAAGACATGGTACATCAACAAAGAAAAATAAAACATGGGAAACAATATATAAAGAAGTATAGAACATATGTAAAATACCAAGTGTAGTGTTGTAGTTACCTAGTGCCACTCTGCCACATATGAGATGGCCTTAACAAACAGGAGTTTCTTCTCTTACAGTTTGGAGGCTTTAAGTCCAACTTCAAAGTTCCAGGCTAGGTGAAAGCCCCTCAACCTTGGGGTCCAGCTCTGCCTCCTGCTCCCAGCCCACTGGAGCTAGAGGCATTTCTTCACTCAGACAGCTGCTGGCTGCTGAGGCTGAGAAGCCCAAGGTTGACAAGTAAAAAGGCACAGTCCTGATGTTACCAAACCATATGGCAGACCATTAACTTAAGTCCATTGTCATTCCCAAGGTCGGCAGAGCATGGCAGGCTGCTGAACAACGACACGGCTACATGCAGGGTCCAAGCGTGCCATAAGTTAGAGACCATTCCCAGAGCTGCTGCTTATATACGGGAAGAAGACCACATACCCAAAGCAGCTACTCAGCTGCTTGTGGTAGATCCCACCCTAGAGTTGATTCCCAGTCTCATTATGGGGAATAACTACCACCAGATGCCCAGCCACTCAACCAGGCCCCGCCAAGTTGACACACAAACATAACCACCACATGTAGAGAGGGTACAGAGTTAAAGGGTGATCATGTTGGAAGTTAAGAGGGCATTATTTCTCTCACATTTCTGAAACGTTCCAATCCAAGGTTAGAATTTAGCCACATCCCTGGCTTCTACCCACTAAATGCCATAAGCAACCTTCTCTCCCAGTTGTGACATCTAAAAATGTATCCAGACATTTCCATATGTCTCCTCGAGGGCAAAATCACCCCCAGTTGAGCAGTACTGCTCTAACTCATTTTCTCTCTCTTCCTAGCTTTTTTACTTGTGTGCAGAAGTTTATCAGCAGACAAACCCCAAAGATTCCCGAAGCTTGGGGAAAGACATCTGGAATATTTTCCTAGAGAAAAATGCGGTAAGGCCATAATGGATTGAATCATAATTTTATTATACTCTTTGGACCACTAACAGGCAGAGAGAAAACTAAGCAAAACATTCAGGCTGCATGTAGATAGAGTCTTAAAAAGAAGTCTGGGCAATGGGCCTATAAGTTCATGTGAATGATCAGAATTCCCAGGTGTATAGTAGAGCTGACAAGGGGCAAGGTTATGGTCATTACTTGGTCACAGCCAGCTACCCAGAGGGACCGAGTAGTTGATCCTGCGGGCTTGGGACCATAGTCGCAGGGGACATCAAACTCAATTGGCATAACATACTATACAAAACATTGCTCCACCTCCTACTTTGGCGAGTAGCTACTGGGACCTTAAAAGCTAGGAAGCTGCCATCTAGATGCAACAACGGGTCTCTCCTCGTCAAGAAGAAAGAAGAAAACCAAAATTAATGGAAACAATCAGTCCTAGCAACTGGTACACCATCCGATCTGCAACCTATACAACTATGAGACCAGAAGAACTAGATGGTACCCAGCTACCACTGCCATCCACTTGGAAGGAATGTAGGAGATCCTGCATAAAGAGGAAGAACAATGTGGTACAAAACTCAAAATCATTTGGAGGCAAAAAAAATAAAAAAAGAAGGTGGGGACCAGGTTTGCTGGTCCAATGGAGCCTGGTGTAACCACTGAGACTATGGCCCCTAGTTGCCCTTCAGGTCTGGAATTGAACCCACACCTGTGGTTTCCAGCCAAACAGAGTACAGGCAAGTGAGTTAAACATTTACCTCAAGTAGACACACGCCCTGGAGAGAACAATCATGGGAGAAGGAAGGGCTGCTTATGCACAGGGAGATAGCTCAGGGTGCAGAACAGTATGAAGGGATGGACACTGGGAGGAGGTAACTATGGGGAGGAAGTGGGAGGGGAGCTGCTGCATTGTAAATTTTGGTCAATGACATGAGACAAAGTATATGTGAACTGCTGTATGAAAAGTGAATTTACTCTGTAAATCTTCACCCAAATCCTAATTAAAAAAAAAAAAAAAGTCTGGGTTGGAAGATTAGAATTCCTGAATTCTGTTCCCACTTCTACTCTCAAAAGATTGATCGCCTCACTGTGCCTCTTTTGTTCCATGTCTAACAAAGGGAGAACACACATTGCTTCTCCTCAAAATACTTAAAGAAGAAATGACACCAAATTCTAATTACTCTCCTTAAATCCATGCCCTGATTTTCTCTGAGCCTCCCTGCCTTGCCCATCTCTGGGATGAATAAACAGGGGTCCAGAGACATCAGATGGTCTAGGTCAGTTAGCCAAGAAGAGAACCCAGGTTTCTGAAGCTCACCGTGACTCGCTATCACTGCCCAAAGCAAGACTGGAAGTTGAGGGTGTGGGGGACCCTGTAGTCTCTGAGCAGATGAACACTCTTTGTGTCTGGACACAATTCCCAGAGGATGTATCAGGGTCCTACTGGCACAGGTAACACCTTTGCTTGCAGAGGGCAGTTCTCATCTTAGACTTTTAAATTTGATTAGCTAAACTAATGCCTAGTAGCAGTAAAGTACTAGGATTGGTGAGGTTGGGAAACAAACCACCCTTTCCTCAGGATTTTTATATTTTGCCCCTTAAATGGGTCATGAGTTACTCCTCTTTTTTTTTTTTTTTTTTTTTAATTGCTGTGGAAGCCTTTGTAATATAAGTTGAATTTCAACCTCAGTTCATAAATCAAATGAGTAAACACTCAGCCAGTAAGAGAACTTTGCTTCAAACTGCCCCAAATGTCTTTCATAATTCTGACTTTTCATTGGTTTGCCAAGGAAGTAGCAAAGATTGGTAGTTATGGCATTAACCTACTAACTGCTACAGTTGAGTCAATTCTGACTTATAGCAACCCTATAGAACAGAGTAGAACTGCCCCTATAGGGTTTCCAAGGCTGTAATCTTTTTTTTTTTCTTTTTTACTTTTTATTGTGGTTTGGGTGAAAGTTTACAGAACAAATTTGTTTTCCATTCTACAGTTCATGTACATTTTGTTTTGTGACATTGTAATCCTCACAGTGTAACAGCCCTCTTCCCACTTCCTCCTTGTGGTTATGTTTTCCCTATGTCCTTCTTTCCTATGCATTCCTGCCTTCTGTGCTTCCTTCCTGTGCAAATGCTGTCCTTCTCATCTCCCATGGTTGATTCCAAGGAGTGCACCTCCCTGGTGTAATTGTTCACCTCATAGGCTTGAAGGTTAAACCACAGGAATAAGCCAAATTCCAGGCCCAAAAAGTGACTAAGGGTCATAATCTCAAGGGTTTCACCAGTCTTTATCAGACAGTAAGCCTGGTCTTTTTTTTTTTTTTTTAATTTTATTTTATTTAGATTTGGGTTAAGATTTACAGAGCAAAATCACTCTCGATACAGCAGTTCACATATACTTTGTCTCATGTCATTGACCACAATTTACCACAATGCAACAGCTCCCCTCCAATTTCCTCCCCAAGGTCTGGTCTTTTTTTTTATGATTTTGAGTTTTGTTCCACATTTTTTTCCCACTCTATCAAGGATCTCCAAATTTGATTCCTTTCTGAGTGGTTGGCAATGGTAGCCGGGCACCATATAATTCTTCTGGTCTCGGGGTCATGTAGGCTGGGTTCCCTTGCTTTGATGGTACCTTGGACTAATTGTTTCCATGCATCTTTGCTTTTCTTCACTCTTCTTTGCTCCAGACAACAGGAGACCAGTAGTTGCATCTTAAGACAGCCACTCACAAGCTTTTAAGACCCCAGTCATTGCTCAGCAAAGTAGGATGTAGAAAATTGTTTTTGTGTACCGTTGTGCCAGCTGAGCTTGATGTTCCCCACGACTATGATCCCGAGCCTGTAGGCCCTGTGACTCACTCTCTCAAGGTGTTTGGTCATGGCTAAGAAGTTACCCCTTTCAGTTATTATGGAGCCACCCCAATATCCAGCTATCTGGTACTCTCAAAGCAAAAGCCTGAACATTCTGCTAACTGGAAGACTAGGTAACATAGACCAATCTTTCCTTATTAGTGTAGAGGAGGGAAAAGCCATCAAATAGCCTGAATTATCACTGGTCCCCATGTGGAACAATATCCCCATTCCCTGCAACCCAGTATACTTGAACTAAGAGTGGAAGGACTGCATGTACCACCCTCAGCCAGTCTTCTCAGCTTGCCCTGATACATTTCTCAGAAATCCTACTGTAGAATTCAGGTATACAAGTTGGAAAGAGATGAGAATGGGGTAGGTGTAGGGAAAAATTAAAGGTGATGATATTTAAAAGCCCAGCTTGAGGTCTTCCCCATTTCCTTGAAGTATGTGGACCTCACCACTTCTACCCACTCTTCTGTTTCTCAGCCTCTGCGAGTGAAGATCCCTGAGATGTTACAGGCTGAAATTGGTAAGTTGGCTTCTTGGTCAGTTGGTCTCCTCTTAATGCCATTCTTGTCCTGAGCTCTGAGGAGGCTCCATAGGACAGAGGAGATACAGTTCTTGTCTTTGGACGGCTGTACTCTAATAGGGGAAAGAATCATGGGACGATTCCTCCAGGATACTTTGCGACAGCTTGTGGACAAACACAGATGGGATAGACCCTGCTTAAGTGCTTGTCATGGGAAGACTTTGGACGTGGAGTTAGGGGATCAGGGCTCTGATCTCATTTCTGCCAGCCTTCTGTGTGACCTCTCTGTGCCTTAGTTGGCTCATTTATACAAAGGGGAAATTGGACTTGAACTGGGGTTCTTAAACCTGGTTGGATCATTGGGATTCCTTTAGGAACTCTAAACAGAAAACCAGAAACCAGACCCTCTCTCTGTCCTACCTATAGAGTCAGAATCTCTGGAGGTTGTTTTTTTGTAAGTTCCTGCTAACAGCTGGTCCAGAATGAAATCCCAGTGGACTGGGTGACTGCTCAGCTCCCTTTTCATTCTTAAGTCTGAGACTAAGAGCTAAGAGCCTTCTCATTCTTAAGTCTGAGACTAAGAGCTAAGAGGTAGGGAGTGGGGCTTGTAGAAAGGATGTCCATCTGAGAAGTTAATCCCAGGAGGCTTCTAGAGAATAGAAGTTAGAAGTAGCATTTGGAAAGAGGTAGTTTACGGGCACCGATGGAAAAGAGGAAGATACGGAATGGAGTGAACAGAGCTCGTGCAAAGCAGAGTAAGAGTGAGCTAGCCACTCTCAGGGACGCAGCATGGGCTGAGTGGAGTCAGGGTAGAAGGGGAGACATCGTTCTGTTTCTGCTGGGATGTTTGAGTTTCACAGAATGTGAAGTGTTTCAGCCTGATGAGTAGCCTTGAGGCACTAGAAGAGTAATGAGCCTCTCAGAGGCCTGGACTTTGATGTCACAGGACCGTGTTTGGACACATCTGGCGAGAGGGGCTTTAATCTTTCTCTTAATGGAGCATAGAACATCCAGAAAATCTTCCCATCCTTACCTTGGGATTTGGGCACCAGGATTCAAGTCCTAAGTTCAGGAATGACCTGATAGGCCCGAGCTACCACTTCCTTCAAGCTGACAGGAAGGCAGAAAGCCAGCCTCTCTTCTCATGCCACATGAGCTGAAGTGGTTTGAGATGCCCAGCAGAAGCAGCTTCCTCCTCTCCCCACACCCCAGTCCCATTTCTCTTGCCTCCCATGATAGACTTGCGCCTGCGAAACAATGAGGACATCCGCAGCATCCTTTGTGAAGCTCAGGAGGCAGCCATGCCAGAGATCCAGGAGCAGATCCACGACTACAGGTTTGCCCAGCCCTCTCCCCTCCTGTTCTCTCTCCTACTCACCCATCTGTCTCTTCATCTTTTTTTTTTTTTTTTTAAGTTTTTCTGTGATGTGTGTGTTTCCTGCTAGTGTGTTTGTTTGTCTAACTCTTTCTGAATATCTGTCTCTAGAGTGTTTGTGTACATTTGTTTCTTTCTGTGTGTCTCTGGGTTAGAACAAAGCGCACTCTGGGGCTGGGCAGCCTGTACGGTGAAAACGACCTGCTGGACCTGGATGGGGACCCTCTACGAGAACGCCATGTGGCCGAGAAGCAGCTGGCTGCCCTTGGAGATATTTTGTGAGTCTGTAGCCCCACCCCATGAACATGCCGAAAAGATAGACATATGTTATGAGTCTGTCTTCTCACCTCTCTCTTTCTTCTACTTCTTTCTATTCTCCTTCCCCTGAAAGATGGGGAGTCCTGCCTTCCTGCTGCTCTCTCAGGCTGAGGGCTGCAGGCATTTCAAGGAAGTTGCAGAGCCTAGAGCTCCTTACAGTAACCCGGTGGTTTTGTCAAACCATGGGCTCCAGGAACAGAGTGAGCCTGCTGCTTCCCCATTCTAGCCCTCTTCCTGACCTTTCTCCTTACCCCTAAAACCATACCTGACATTGGCAGTGAGACCAGCACTGTGAGTCTCCTAGTGGCTAAGGTTCCTTAGGAGGCAGATAGAATTGGCTCAAGGGAAATTGCACCATTTTTACTAATTACATCAGGAAACTTAACTAACTTAACTTACTAAGGAGCTCTGGTACAGCTGCTTTGGTTATATTTTTCCAGTCCTATTTCCTCTGATACAAGTCCCAGCATCAGAGACTGTTGAGGACACTTTCAGGTTTAGAGGTGGGGAACATGGGAATGTTTAGTTCTCAGTACTGCTTCTCTGCAAAATAGCTGTGATTTAATAAAATTCTATATAAGATGGTCTCTATACTCTCAACTGAAATTTCAACTCAGCAGATATTTATGGAGTTCCTGCTGGGTACCAAACACTGTTCTAGGCTCTTGGGTTACATTGGCAAAAAAAAAAAATTCTTTCCCTGTGGCTCTCCCATTATAGTGGGAAGAGACAGCAATACATAATAAGTAATAAATCTTATGTGTTAGAAAATGTAAGGTGCTCTGGTGGAATAGTGGTTAAGGCATTTGGCTGCTAACCAAAAAGATCAGTGGTTTAAACCCACCAGCTATTCTGTGGAAGAAAGACGAGTCAGTCTACTTCCATAAAGATTTATAGTCTTGGAAACCCAGTGGGGGTTGATTTTGAGTTGGATTTGACTCAGTGGCAGTGAGTTTGGTTTGGTTTTGGAGGGAGAAAAAAATGGAGCAAGATGAGAAGGGCCAGAAGTGCCAGCACCAGGGGGTTGTGATTTTAAATAGGATGGTTAGGGTGAGCTTATTGAGAAATGACACTTGAGCAATTGTAGAAAGTGAGGGCGTTCTCCTTGAAGAGATCTGGGCGAAGAACATTGCAGGCTGAGGGAACAGCCAGGGCAAAGTAGGAATGTGCCTGACATACTTGAGGTCACTTTCTCAGTAACCAGTGTGGCCAGAGCAGGTTGAGGAAGTAGGTGGTAAAGACAGAGGTAATGGAAGGGGTAGTGACATATAGCCTTGGGGACTATTATGAGGACTTGGATTTTGCTGTCAGTGAATGGGGAGCCATTGGAGCTGTGTGAGCCTAGACTGTGAGCAGAAGGTGGTAGGAATGCAAGGAGGATTTGGAGCAGGGAAATCAGTTAGGAAACTGTTAGAGAAGTCCAGGTAAAAGATGGCAGAAACTTGGACTAGAGTTGTAATGATGGAGTTTGTAAAAATAAGTCAGATTCTAGGTGCATTTGGACAATAGAACCAATAGGAGCATTTCCTAAAAATGGAATGTGGGGTGTGAGAGAAAGATTAAAGTCAAGAAAAACTCATAAGATTTGTTATCTACGCTACTAAAAGGATGAAGATACCATCAGTTGAGATAGGTATGATTTATGTGGAGTAGTTCTGTGAAGGAAAATTGAGTTTGGCTTTGACATGTTAAATTTGAGGGGGTTTTTTAGACATCAAATTAGAGGTTTGAGTAGGAAATGTCAGATATGAATCTGGCATTTGATAAGAGAAGTGGACTGGAGATGCGACTAGATGAGATCACCCAGGGAGTGAGTATTCTTTAAAAACTTAACCGTCATACTTGGATTAGAACAATAGCCAAGCCCTGCATCTTTCTGGGCCTTAGTTTCCCAAGCTATCAGGTGACAGTAATCATCCTTGGCACTCCAGGAGACAGAGACAAGACCCATCTAAGCCTATTTGAGATGGTAGGTATTGCAAAATCAAATGGGATTATTATTGATAGCATAGGGACCCCACTTGTGGTGATTTCTCCTTAAAGCAGTGAAGCTTTGGTGTCACAAAATGGAGATGATAATGATAATACTTACCTTGTGGGTTAGTGTGAGAATTAGAGGAGTTAATACATACATAAAGAGTTTAGAGTAGTGCCTGGCCCATAGTAAGCACTCAAACGCTAGTTGTTGTCACCATTTTTCCTCTTTTAAATAAGTCTCTTTGAATCAGGCTCAAGGTATTATCTCTGCTCTCTTATTTTCTTTCTTCTTGCCTTAGAGTCACCCCAACCCTTTTGTCTTAGTTCTAGGTGGATACAAAGAGAAACTTGTTCCTCTGTAGTAACTTCATAGGCTGAAACAGACACCAACCAAGAGGCCACATTGACCATATTCCCCTTCCTTTTATAGCTGGAAGGATATGTCAAGAGAACTATGTGCTAATTGAGTTCCTGGAGGGCATGAGGACTTTCACCTTGGAGCCCCAAGCTGGCTCCAGGGCTGTGACCAAGAGTCTAAATGTGACATTTTATCATACTCCTCCTCTTCTCTCCCATTAACCCTCCCTTTCTCCAAGAAAGAACTTACCCTCCCCTAGTCTCAGCACAGGCAGATGAGCCTCTGTCTTTGTGGTCTGAGTCATCTTTTCTTTCTGTTGTTCCAGGTCCAAGTACGAGGAAGACAGGAGGTAAGTGAGTCCATGGTCCATTTGTAGCTTTCAAGGTAGAAGGGAGCTATTGTGCTTCCCAGCTCAGCTGGAATCCCTAGTATTGTCCAAGTTTAGTTCCCAAGTATATGTGTAACCATAGCCCAGTGGGGTCATAGGTCTGGTACCTGATGCTGGGACTAGCCAGCACTCTCTCCAAGCTCAGGGATCTGCCTGTCTGCCTCGGAAATCAGATCTGCTCCACAGTATGGAGACACCAAGCTGCTGTGGCTCTAACATTCCCATACCTGGCTTCCTCTTTTCCACCCAATTTAGCTCTTTCTGCACCTTCCCCCTAAACCACTTAAAGAAGGAACAGTGATAGTGGAATCAGCCTGGTGTTAGCTGCACCTGCAGACCTGGGGAGCTGGGTGCAAGATTTTCCTCTCTTGCCAAGTACTGTGATTTTTTATGGCCTGTACACATACCTCATTGTTTCTCATCAGCTAATGTTAAAATGAGTGTGCATTCCCTAAGCATGCACACTTAATAAGGAAGAGAAGATGGGGTTAGAAGTCTGTTTCAGGGGAGAATAAGCCAGGGCTGAAGCATTTGCTTCATTGAATCTACAGAGTGCATAACCTGTCTACACAATTGAAGGCTGAATGCATTTTAAAGCACAGAGCTCTGGACAGTGTCATTTGTGGCAGTTGGAAGCAGTTTGACAGCTCCTTTCCATCTCTTCCCTTTTGTACCGGAATGGAAGGGTGGTGAAGCGGTATGCCTTGGCAGAGTCAGGGATGGGATGGGCATTTCTCCCCTTCCACTTGCCATCCCCCCACACACACACCACATACACACACACACACACCCCCCAGTGAACCAACCAACTGCCATCTAGTTGATTCTGACTCATACCAACCCTATAGGACAGAGTAGCAATGTCCCATAGGGTTTCCAAGGCTGTAAATCTTTATGGAAGCAGACTACCTCCCCTTCTTTCCACAGAGTGGCTGGTGCATTCAGACTGCTGACTTTTTGGTAAACAGACAAGTGCTTTAACCATTGCCCCACCAGAGCTCCTTACACACACACACATGCCTGAGGATATGAACTGTAGACCTCAAACCATCCTCTAGGTCTGTCCATGACTTGACCAGCCAGACGAGGGTTTTTTTAAGGGAATTGGCATGTCCTTCCAGTAACCACTATCCCCTGTTTGAAAGGGCTCTATACGGATAATGAGATTTCTCCTAGAGAGCCTGTACTTGCCAAGACTTTGAGCCACTTTTGCCTGCTGTCCCATTTGATTGTTTTAAACTTCTCTTTGAATACCCTGCCCCTTTAGCTAGCTAGCTTTTACCCACCCCACTTCACTGGGATTCTTGCCCTTCTGCCTGCCAGCAGGGAACATAACTTGACCTTTCTGGTTCAGAGTACATGGTTCCTCTCTTACAGTGCCCCCATGGACTTTGCCCTCAATACCTACATGAACCATGCTGGGATCCGTCTTCGAGAGGCACGACCTTCCAACCCAGCTGAAAAGGCCCAGTCTGCTCCTGACAAGGACAAGTGGCTACCTTTCTTCCCTAAGACCAAGAAGGTGACAGAGCTACCCTAGAACTATTCTTCTCTTGGTGCATTTCTCTGCACTGAGGTGACTAGGAAAGCCATCGTGCAATTTTCTAGCTGTGCTCTGCACTTCTGCATGTGAGTCAGTGCAGATCCCCAAACAAGAGTAGCTTGTTTGCCCTGCCTCCAAACCCAGGCCAGAAGTAACAGTGCGAGTTATGGTACAAGTGTGAGTCCACTTTCCAGTTATTATTTAGAACCAGTCTTGGTGCAGGGAAGGGTAGGTGGTGGCAGAGTGATTGTGGCCAAGTCTCAGTATTGAGACCTTCTCCAAATCCCTGTGTCTCTTATCTCAGCAGAGCAGCAATTCCAAGAAGGAAAAGGATGCCTTGGAGGACAAGAAGAGAAACCCCATTCTCAAATACATTGGGAAGCCCAAAAATTCTTCCCAGAGCAGTGAGTATTTGGGGAGCCTTGGGCATTCTGTAGGTGGCAATTTGCCTCAGCCCCATGCAGCTCCCTCACATACCAGTCTGCTGGCAGAGGTCCTACCTGTGTTTCTGAGAGCCACAGACCCAAACTCTGAGGTGCAGCTTCCTATCAGTACTGTTGCCTTCTCTACTTGCTGCTTCCAGTGCAGACTCTTTGAGAATGGGTGAACATTTCAGAGCCAAGGAGTCATGCCAGTCCCTGAGTCTTAGTCTAGGGACTCAGAGCCAGTTTTAAGTACTGAGCAGCCATGGGAAACTGTTTCCCCCTTGGCAAAGGTCGTTGACAATAAATAGCCCCTTTCACTTTCATCCAAGAGAGTCATCTGTACTAAGCTCCTGCAAGTTGAAAGCTATTATGGACCCTCCGTAGGAACTTTGAGTTACTGTTAAGCAGAACAAGGTAGATGGGGATGGGGAACAGGTTTGGGACCCAGAGGTTCCCCTAGTGCCATCAGTCACCCAAAGCTCAGTTGATGTTAGCATCGATCTCTTCCTAGCACTGTGTCATTTGTCTGGAAATTGTTGCTGCCTCTCCCAATCAGTATCTTAAATCCCCAGTGTTTGTGGGAACCTGTAAAGGCCATGGGATGGGCCTGCTGCCTTTTCTGAAATTGCTGTATGTGGGAAGGGGACAGGTGGGGACTCAGATCACCCCTGATTTTTTGCCACTACCTTTTCATTTTTCAGCTTGATGTAATTTTTATTTTGACTCTTGAAACGCTAATTTGATTTTTCATGGTTTACTTTTGTTTTTGTTTGTTTTTCTTTTAGCATTTCATATTCCCTTGTCCCCTGTGGAAGGTAAAAGGACCATTTTCTTTGGATTTTTCTTTGCATTAGCATTGAGTTTCCATTTCTTCTCTTTTCCTTCTTCATCTTCCACTCCTATCCCTTCTTCCCCTCCCTCCCTTCACTCCATTTCTCTTACACTTTCCTCCTTGTTGCTAAAGCTGCTCTGACACACGCACGCCCAAGGCGGGCTTCCAGAACTGGCCACGCCTCCTCCCCAGGTAGAGCCGTCCTAGTGGTTCTGGCAAAGGCCAGCCTTCGTGACCTGTTAATTTTCCCACAGCCTAAGACCTTTTTTTCCACCAGTCCTCCTATCAGCCTTTCATGGGTAAGGTTCTAAAAGCCCAGGGCTCTCTGTAAATGAGGAAAACCTTCATAAATTGAAGTGCGTTTCAGTAAAGCAGAAGCATAAATTACTCAGAATTTTGTTTTCAATTAAAATAATAATGAAAATCATCATTTATATTACCTAAAACCCTGTTTAAGTTCTTCAACATAGTACTTCCATCTCCTTTGACTCTTCTTAAGTTGGCCAGCACTATAAAACTAGCAACAGTTAAAAAAGAATGACCATAAATAACACTCATAGCACCTAATAACTTCTAGAATCTGTGTATTTTGTATGTGATATACATTCACCCACAAGAAGCTTAGAACCTAGATTGAAAGGTCACAGAATTGGACAAGTTCATTTCCCATCCATGAGGTCCATATGCATACAATGAAGTGATTGATTTCTATCTGCTCACCTAAAGATTACAGCCCAGAAAACCCCACAGGATAGTTCTGCAATTCACTGGCTTCCACACCAGTCTTCTGGTTACCAGTCAAATGCCTTAGGCACTGGGCCACCAGAGTTGCTTCACCTAACAACAATAGTAAATAGAGAAAGACGGTAGTGATGGGGTGTAATCAGGAAGTTATTAATTCATTTTATGTAAATTTCACATAAATCTTATGTAAAAGTGGTGATTAAAAATATTATCTTCAAAATTATAAGTTTCTAGATTCATTATGGGAGCTCTGGTAGCGTAGTGCCTAAGCCACTTGACTGCTAACCAGAAGGCTGGCGGTTCAAACCCACCAGCTACTCCTCAGAAGGAAGATGGGGCAATCTACTTCTGTAGTGATACTGCCTCAGAAACCCAAGGAGGGGTCACTGTGAGTCAGGTCCAACTCGACGGCACATAACGACAACAGATTGATTATATCATTTGAAACAAAAATAAAGATGTATTGAAGCATATATTTATGTTTATAAAAACAGGTTGTTGGTTTTTTTGTTGTTTTTTTCTTTTTTTTTTTTTTTTTCTCAAAAAAAACATAACTTGAAATCCAGGCCCTTAATTCTTTTGGGGGTGGGGGAGGACTGGCAGCTTTGATTTGCTACAGTGATTTATACAAAGCAAAACTAGCACAGGGAAAAGGCACCTGGGGTGAAGTCTGGAGGAAACCAGGCACAAACTTTTAAGGGTCCTCTGAGGCCCTTCATTCTTAGCACCTGCTTCTCACCCTTCTGCCCAAAGCATGTGAGAGGCCAACAGCAGGCTTTACAGACTGGGCAACCCTAATTGGGCTGCTTACTCTGCTGGGCTGAAAGGTGAGGGAACGGCCAGGGTGAAGTTCCTGTTGCTGATCCTAGGGGTAGGATAAAGATGCTAGGCACCCCTCAACTCAGATCTGATTATATGATTTGGTTTGGGGTTCTAAAATTCCCAAACCTCAAATTTCATATTCATACCTAAGACCCGGCAAAGCTCAAAAGCCTCATTATCAAGAGTTTTTGCCATTTAAGATCATCAACTGTTGTCCTTGTTTATTAGTGACAGTACTCAATTGTTAATAGTATATAATTCATTTTCATTTCATTTCATTTGTTATTTACAGAATGGAAGAAACAGCAAAGGCTACCAGTGAAACTTTGCTCTTGAAATAATGTGTTCCTACCTGTGTTTTCCTGTTACTCTGAGTCATTCAGTTATAACTGATTTTAGGGTCACGCCAGAATCTTGTCAGTTAGAGTGTAACTATATCCAGAAAATGATTGGATATTTTCTAAGTGACCCAGGAGAGAGGGAACAGTGGACACGTGCAGCCTCTGGCTTTTGGTCATAGGATGTTCCCAGGCTCCCACATCATCCCCAGCTGGGGTTGCTCAGGCTGCAGACCTGAGCATGACTCCTGCAGCTGTTCTGAGGCCCAGATGCACATTCAGTCTGGGGCAGATCTGGTCCTGATTTCTAAAATGTTGTAAGTTTGTATATGTCAATACAACACAATAACAGATATAACAGAATAACAAAATCTGTGAGGTCGGGCAGGATCCTGGTTAGAATCAGGACCTAGACCCTTGCGTATTTCTCTTGCCTCCCAGATCCCACTTATCCTTCCCATTGCTTCTCATGCAGAGTAGCATTTCTAGCCCAACCTCTGTTCTAGTATTACTGGACTCAGAACTAAACTAGTTGACTTTTGAGATGAATTCCTCATCTCTTTTCTCATGCTAAGAGCCAGCAAACCCTGGGTCTAAGTTTTCACCAGGGTCTCTAAGTGGTATCCCTTGTGCCTTTTCACCCTCTCACTTGTCCTCTTCTGTTTCTTTGAACAAGAATAGCTCTCTTTTCTCTTAGCTTTGTGACTGCCAAGAGAGTGACATCTCTCCTCTCTTCCTTCCTGAGTCACCTGTCTTTGGTAATAAAGGGCCTGAATTTTCAATGATGGAGACCAGCAGGGGACAAAAAACCAGGAAAGGGGGGAGTGAGGGAAAACAGAAATAATGAACTGAGGGTAGCATACATCTTTTAAATGCTTGATATAATTTGGCAACATGACCAAAATATATGCTTTTGGTCCTCCTAGCTTTTTTTTTTTCCAAAACCTGTATGTAGATCTTGGGAAAAATATAGTCATGGTTTTCTAGCAGAAATATCTTTGTAATAAAGAATGTGAGAGTCAAAAGAAATTTATATAGAAAATGTACTTCCAAACCCTCTCATTTTGCATGTGAGAAAACTGAGACCAAAAAGGTAGATTGAGTGCCCGTGGCCACACAGCGTATTAGTAGAAGATTAGAACCCATACCTCCTGATCTTCATCCCATGCCATTCTCATCATGCTTGCTCATTGCTTTGTCTTTTGGGCTGCAGGGGAGTGAGGGCCGTGAGGAGTCATTCCTGAACAGAAAGCAGAGTACCCTTCATTTTCTTTTTGCTTCTAGTTAAACCAGGTAATGTGAGGAATATCATTCAGCATTTTGAGAACAACCAGCAGTATGAGGCCCCAGAGCCTGGGACACAGCGGCTCTCGACGGGAAGTTTTCCTGAGGACCTCCTGGAGAGCGACAGGTAGCAGTAGCTGCACTGGGCTTGCTGGCTGCCCAAGGGGAGTATGGGCAAGATTTAGAGCTAGAGTTTTCATTCCAGTGACATTACCCCTTTCTGCTAGGGTATAAAGTTGCCACCAAATAACTTTGTCTCCCCAGGTATTTCAGTAGAAGACATTATGTTGATGATCAGGCCGACTGGGAAAGTAAGCAGGGCCCCTGACCTTCCAGCCCAGGGGCTACATGCTCTATTATTTCCTTTGGATCCATCCCTTGTCTGTGCAGCAGCTCATCCTAGGAGTGAGCTAGTTATATTCTAAAGCAGCTAACCAGGAAGTCCTAAACAATAAGAACTGAGAAGACAGACTTTAGAGGGGGCCAAAGGGAGTCCTACGAAATAAAAGACCCAGGCAGGCAAAAGAAATTCTTTGCCTGTCTGTGAAGGAGAGAGCTGGAGATGAGGTTCTTCTGCTGGGAACTTTAAATGCAGCAGTGTGGTCCTGGGCATCAGATATCCAGCTCAGCAAAGAGATACAAAGTTGATATATTCAAAACAAACTTCCGTTTTCAAGAAGAAAGGAGGGAATTGAGACTCTGGGATCTTTCATATCCTCCATCTTTGGTCAGGTTCCAACTAGAATCCTTCTCTAGGTATTAAGATACAGTCTTGGTCTGGCTTGCTCTTAAGTGGCATGGCAATAGATGAGTTATGTCTAAATTTCTGTGGCCAATACCTAATGTAAAAATTGCCTATAGTCTAAAATATCCTTTTGCCTAAAGTCAAAAATACCCTTGCAAATCCCTTATGGTACCCTTGAGGTATAGGGGCGTCATGTATTTGAAAATAGTTCTTACATATGCTCAGGTGTGAGGAGCTGGAATGTACAGGCAGGCACAGATGAAGGCAAGTCAGTCTGTAGCAGTCTAGATACTCAAACTGTTTCCCTTCTGAAATAATGAATTATCAAACTCTTAGATATTCCTACTTGTATGCATGTTACTCTTTTCTGTTTATATGGATCCGTTACAAGCTAATGTATATTAAAGATTTTGGGACAGTGAAGAATTAACAAAAATTTACCGGGAAGAAAGAGTTGATTTGTGCTAAGATGACAGATTGAGTAAATTAATTAAATTGGGTAGATTAAATTCTCAAATCATGTGATTACTGTAGTAGGCATGATCTTACAGATTTATCAAATATATGAAAAAGAAAAGACTTTGAGACCATTTACAAACTTGTATTCTTGAAGTTGCTATCTAAGTTTGCCCTAAGATACTCACCAGGATTCTAAATCTGTTCTAAGTAGAAGCCTTTAGATTTGATAATTATAAACTAATTGGCATTCTTGGAAAAAATAGCATTAGTGCAGCATAATGGGTCAGAGGTTGTTGTAGATACTCAGTTGGTATAAGATCCTCCAGTACTGTCCAGAAGGCAGTACACTAGAAGCTTTGACCAGAGGTGTATTATATGCCTTACTTCTTAGTGCTTCAAGGAAGATGCTTTGCACTGCAGCCCCAGTAAACTCCTGGATGAGGTTTATCATGATGTTAAGTGACTCATTGAGGAGCACTGGTGAAAAGTGTTTTAAGGTAGTCTGGGTTGGAATTAGAGGCCCTGGGTGGTGCAAATGATTAACACTGCTGCTAACCAAAAGGTTGATGTTCCTATCTACCTAGAGGTACCTCAGAAGAAAGGCCTGGAAATCTGCTTCCAAAAAATCAGCCATTGAAAACCCTATGGAGCAGAGTTCTACTCTGTCACACATGGGGCCTCCATGAGTCAGGGTCAACTCGACAGCAACTGGTTTGGGTTTGGGTTTGGGCTGGAATTGTTCGAACAGCTCTCTAGAGGGTGAGTTCAGTAGGGGATCAGTTGGCAGTATGTTCTCTTCTTCTATGGACAGAGCCCCCAGGACCCAAGGAGATGAGCTCTAGTTTGGATCTCCTGCCAGTTCTGAGAGACTTGATGAGTGGAGACCAAGCCATTTGTGCTATTCTCAGCTCTCCAGATGTCTCCAGGCCTTCTGTGGTCCTAAGAGCAGAGCAGGATATAGATTAGTAATGATGTCAGCAAAGGAGCCAGCCCCAGCAGGGCCACGGTGGGGAGGCACCATCGTGAGGCAGCTAGGGGTCAGAGATGCCAGCTGTCTCAAGGCTGATACACTGCAGGACTCAAAATAATAAAAATAAAAAAAGGCAACACTCAGTCATCTGCATCTTGTCAAGCCACAGAGGCACTTAGTGTCCAGGCATGGCGGCCAGGGAGCAGATTTCTGCCTTTCTGTGAGCAGGCCCTTTTAAACACCCTCCCTAGTTATCTGCCAAATGGAAGCTTAGGAAGGATTCTATCGAGATGAGAATGGAGGGAATATGCATCACAACTAGAGGGGTGGAATCTAACAGCAGATAGAATTTTCTGACAGGCATTGTTGGGGGGAGAACCCTAGAACGAGTATGTAGAAATAACTGTACTTCCTGTTAAAAGGTCTTGTAAAAGAAGCAATCCGGCTCCGGCAAAGTCAAAGCAGAGGGCAAGATGGACTGGCCAGTAACTGGCTCCAGGGCCAGGGAGGACAGGGTCCATATAGTTCTTGATGAGGAACTGTGGTGTCCACAGCTTTCCTGATGGGAGGCTTAGGCCTCTGGACACACATAAGTGTGATTCTATTAGTCCCAAATTTTTGTCTTCCTATTAGGATCCTTTCCTAATAGGACAGAAAGAAGATGAACAGCTCTATTAATGAAGCTAGGCCAGAGAGAGGGAGGAATTTGTAGAACACTAGAAATGATTTGTCATTGAACACAGGCACCAGGCCCCAGCAGAAGGCCAGAGGAAAGCACCCAGTACTGCAAGAGGATCCTGAGCAGGAGGGAAATGGAGAGGAGGAGCTGGGTGCCTTGCTGGTTTGTCGTTGAGAAGCTTCTGCCATCCAGGTGTTCTGGTCCTTTTGGGGGTAGGGTGAAGAGCCTGCAGCAGCATTGAAGACCCTCAAGATAATGCAGCAGATAAAATGGTGCCAGGACATGAGATTTCAAGGTCTTTTATCCTTTTCCCCCTAGTTCCCGCTCAGAAATCCGCCTGGGCCGCTCTGAGAGCCTAAAGGGCCGAGAAGAGATGAAGCGGTCTCGGAAGGCAGAGAACGTGCCCCGCTCTCGCAGTGACGTTGACATGGACGCTGCTGCTGAGGCTACTCGCCTCCACCAGTCAGCCTCATCCTCTGCTTCCAGCCTTTCTACCAGGTAGGTGGAGCCCAAGCGGCTCTACCTAGTGATACCTAGGGGGCAGTGGGGAGGCTGGAAGGATGAAGGAGGTTGAGAGTTGACATTTTCTCCATAGGTCTCTTGAGAACCCAACCCCTCCGTTCACACCCAAAATGGGCCACAGGTGAGTAGTGGGCATGGTATCACTTTGTTGGGTATCTGGTTCTATCCATGCTCATCTACTCCTCCAAGCCCTGAGTGTCCATCTCTTAATGGCCCACAGGTGTCTCATGAGAATGGTGCAAGCAGGTTGGGCAGGAGAGGGAGGAACAAACCCTGTGTATGAGCTGTTCCTCCAGAGTGCAGCTGAGCTGCTTGTTTTCCCCCAGGAGCATTGAGTCCCCAAGCTTGGGGTTCTGCACAGATGCCCTCCTTCCCCACCTCCTAGAGGATGATCTGGGCCAGCTGTCTGACCTGGAGCCAGAACCAGATGCCCAAAACTGGCAGCATACCGTAGGCAAGGATGTTGTGGCTGGGCTAAGCCAGAGGGAGATTGACCGGCAGGAGGTCATCAACGGTGAGCCTGCTCCACTTCCCCCACACTTCCACTCAGACTAGAATAGGTCTAACACCTGACCTGTAATAGGTAGCAAAGAGGAAAATTAGGAGGGGGACCCTGGGAGCAGGACCAGGCCCATGTTGCTTGTTCCTGTAAGGTCCACCTCAGTTCTGTTGCTTTGGTGAGAGAAAAGTTGAGATTTTATCTGAAAGCAGCACTCCAGTTGCCCCAAAAGCAAAGTGGTTTGGGAATCAGGGTCGTGACTCTAGATACTTGCTCATCTGTTTTCTCCTTCCCTTCCATTCCCTTCCCTCCTTGCCACAACCACTACTCAGAACTGTTTGTGACCGAAGCTTCCCATCTGCGAACACTTCGTGTCCTGGACCTGATCTTCTACCAGCGGATGAAGAAGGAGAACCTGATGCCCCGGGAGGAGCTAGGCCGGCTCTTTCCTAACCTGCCTGAACTCATAGAGATCCACAGTAAGGAGCCTCCCCCCATCTGCCATTCTCCACCCCCTCAAACTGCTTTTCTAGTTAGCCTTCACCCACATACCCAGACCTCCCTGAGTAGTTAACCCAATCTTTGGTGAGAAAAAAGGTGAAAACAGCATTTAGTTCCCCGAAAAGTACAACAGTTTAGGAATCTCCTTCTCTAGACCCTTCCCCACAGCACTGCTTTCACAGATCCCTCTTCTCTCTGTTACAAAGGATCTGGCAGTGCAGCTCAGTACCAGGCGTTTCTGTTTCTTCTCTTCTTGCCGCAGATTCCTGGTGTGAAGCAATGAAGAAGCTCCGGGAGGAGGGCCCCATCATCAAAGAAATCAGTGACCTCATGCTGGCACGGGTATGGTCCAAACTTAGCTTGCTAGACAAGAAGGAGATTGTAGAGTTAGTGTGGGAGACAGGGCGCCATTACCCAAGGCTAGGGGATGTGGCAGGAGAGGAGGTAGGGAAGGGACAAGTCCCAGGCAGGGGTGTGATGCCTGGATGGGTGTCCATTCTCCCTCTCAGTTTGATGGTCCTGCCCGAGAGGAACTCCAGCAGGTGGCTGCTCAGTTCTGTTCCTATCAGTCAATAGCCCTGGAGCTGATCAAGACCAAACAGCGCAAGGAGAGCCGCTTCCAGCTCTTCATGCAGGTACTTCATTGGCCATCCCTCAGCTTTCCCTCATCTCCGTGAGTTCACCAGGGATTTCCTAAGTTTCCCTTCTTCTGGCTCTCAGCTCCTAGTCCACCTGGCAACTTCCCATAGCCTCCCATACCACCCCTTCAGAAAACACTGACTGACACATAAGCACTATCAAGATAGAGACCACCCTTCCTTGAAAAGAACACTGGATTAGCAGTCAGAAGGCCTGGCTCACCTTCTGTTACCTGTGTGCACTTAGAGTAAACTCCCTGGGTCTCAGCTTCTTTGTCTGTAAAAGAAGCAGCTCCGTGGCACAGTGCCTAACTAAGGCATTTGACTGCTAACCAGAAGGTTGGAGAGTCAAACCCACCAGCCACTCCATGGAAGGAAGATGGGGCAATCTATCCCTGTAAGGATTTACTGCCTCAGAAAACCAATGGGGATCACTATGAGTCAGAATTGACTTAATAGCAGTGGGGTTTTGGTGGGTTTATGTAGCTTTTGTTTGCCCTGCCCTCACCACCCCCACCCTGAATATTTAAGGAAGAAGCTGCCACCACTGATTCTAAATGACCTACTGGGGATTAGGAACCATTTGGCATTTTCATGTCCATCTTGGCCCTGAGCCCATAAGCCAGCTCCAGCCACAAGTTGAGAACTTCCTCTGTCTCTCTTCCTCTCCTGCCATCTAGGAGGCTGAGAGCCACCCCCAGTGCCGGAGGCTGCAGCTTAGAGACCTCATCATTTCAGAGATGCAGCGGCTCACCAAGTATCCGCTGCTGCTGGAGAACATCATCAAGCATACCGAGGGTAGGGCACGGAGAGAGGCCAGAGTTGGGAGTCAGGAGACCTCGTTTCAAATCCTAATTCTAGCATGGACTTGCTTTGTGACCTCAGCAAGTCACTTGACCTTTCTGGCCTTCAGTGTCTTCATCCATGCCCTGTTAGAGTGTGTCTCAAAGAAAATAATAATTATAAATGTGCTTTGGGAAATACAAGGTATTCAACAGCAGGAGAGGTCAGAGCCACTAGTCTATATGCAGCTTTTGTGCAAAACAGAAAAAAGCACCACTCTCTGAGTGGACACACAGCTTGGCATGCAGAGGTTGCCTTGGTTCCTCAGGAAGATTATGGTCCCACACCAGGGCTCACAGCTGGATTTTAGCCCCTGTTCACTCTCCTTCTGGGGTGTTTTTCTGCTCTGCAACACATGGGGTCATCATGAGTCTGAATCAACTCAGCAGCAACTGGTTTGGTTTGGTTTTGGTCATCTCCCTGCTGGACTCATCTGTGCACCAAAGACACAACCACATGTGGTAGCCTTAGAGGTGTGCAGCGGACCAGGCCACATTCAGGTCCCTGAGATCCTGAGCATCTTCCACCACCCTCAAGTTTGGAACACTGGAGTGAGGATACAGAGGTGTTGAGAACTGAACCTGATTTGAGCAGGCTTTCCTACAGGTGTAACATTGTTATCACCCATAGTCCCTGTTCCTGTCCCCTTGGTATCAGTACAGCTGGCTGTGACTAGGCACTGTGTTTTCAGAACAGTGTTCAAAACAGTGGTCTAAAACCCTAGAAACTCAGTAAAAATTAACTTTACTACTTAAAGTCTTCAAGGTTAGGCAGCTGTAGCTTGGCTATATCCATCCATGCCTACTGGTTTGAGGCAGGCCATTCAACATGGGTACAGGTTGTTTTTAGGTTCTATCAAGTTCTGACTCACAGCAATCCTGTGTACAACAGAATGAATCCATTGTTGCAGCCGTTGTGTCCCCAGTTGTATTTTGAGTGCCTTCCAACCTGAGGGGCTCATCTTCCAGCACTACATCCAACAATATTCTGCTGCTATCCATAGCTGGCCATTATTTTTTGGAAATCAATCACAGTGTCCCTCTTAGTCTGTCTTAGTCTAGAAGCTCCTCTGAAACCTGTCCCCCGTGGGTGAACTTGCTCGTAGTTGAAATATTGTGGCATAGCTTTTAGCATCATAGCCACATGTAAGCCACTACCTTATGACAAACTGACCGAGGGGTGGTAGATGGATACAGAGAGCCAGGTATTATCTAACAGACTGAAGGTGGAGCCCCTAACCATTTCCTCTACCCCATTCGATAGGTGGTACCTCTGAGCATGAGAAGCTCTGTCGGGCCCGGGATCAGTGCCGGGAAATTCTCAAGTATGTGAATGAAGCCGTGAAGCAGACAGAGAACCGGCACCGTTTGGAAAGCTACCAGAAACGTCTGGATACCACCTCCTTAGAGAGGGCCAGCAACCCACTGGCAGTAGAATTCAAGGTAGGAAGCAGAGGCCGCAGCATAATCAGCACCCCCACACACGCTTCTTGGGCACCCTTAGGAGCAATACTCTGGCCAGCACCTGGAGAGTCTTAGAGGTAGAAGACATGGACCTATATGTGATAAAATGGTGGTGATGGGCCCTAGAACATACACACCTTGTTTTCATTGTCACCTCATCCCTAGACAGAAATGAGGGCAGACAGCCCTACCAAGTTAGAACTCAGCATGGAAGTGGGGGAGTAGAGCATGATGGAACGTTGAAGTGAAAGTGGAGATAAATTAGGAAGAAATAAAACTGAAAAGATGGGCAAGAAAATCAGAGACTGATTTTCTTAGGAAGGTAGCAGCATATGGGGGTGTCTCACTAGATTCCCAGCACCTTTATGCAGAACCCACTCAATCCACTATGAGAAGGTTTTCAAATGCTTACTGAACAAATGAGTGAATGGTTTTTCCTTAATAGAGCCTGGATCTTACAACCAGAAAGATGATCCATGAGGGCCCCCTGACCTGGAGGATCAGCAAGGATAAGACCTTGGGTATGTGCCAGGGCCCTTGGTGGGGTGAGCCCTGAGATCTTTTGCTCTAAAGGGGGAAGTAACAGCCAGGGAGGCAATTTGAAGCAAGACTTAAAGGGTAGCTTGGACGTCTTCGGCACAGTGTAGGGAGGGAGTGATCCAAAGCAAAAGGAAGTGGGGTCTCCAGGCTCCCTGGGCTTCCTAGACCCTAGAGACATGCATCTGAAAGCCTCTGGTGCCCCACTGGGTTCATGAGGGGTGAATGGGCAGCAGTGACCCACTTCACAATCACCACACTCCTCCAGACCTCCATGTACTGCTGCTGGAGGATCTCCTGGTGCTGCTACAAAAACAGGACGAGAAGCTACTGCTGAAATGCCACAGTAAGACAGCCGTGGGTTCCTCAGACAGCAAGCAGACCTTCAGCCCCGTACTCAAGCTCAATGCTGTGCTCATCCGCTCTGTGGCCACAGGTACTCCCAAGGAGATGGGCCCAACTGGCTTGGGGCCATGGTCACTGTTACTGGTGTGCAGTAAGCACTGGGTGTTGGGAGCCAGTCTGGAGCCTTGCAGGATTTACTCGTCTAATCGTGTTCTTTCTTCTTACCATAACCCAGTCTAAGAAGTAGCATGTGGTCCCACGCACAGGTACCTCAGAGGGATAGGGTAGAGACCAAGATGAAGATAGATAACCTAGGCTGGATAGTCAGCCCTCAAGGATAGTGCTGGTTTGGATGAGATGTGGGCATCTGGAATGGACTAAGGATGTCTAAGCACCATTGAAGAGAATGGGAATGGGCAGCAACGAGTAAGACAAGCGTGGCTGCTGGAATAGCGGCCAGGGCAGAGCTCAGTGGCACAGAGCAGCCACAGTACAGAGCCAGGTCCAGGGGACCGAGATGTTTCAGTGAGAAGTGGAGTGTGTACAGGAAAGGACTGTGGACCAAGAATCAGCATCTGGAATTCTCTGAGCTCGCTTTCCTCATCTGTAGCACGGGGCCAATACCTGTCCTCCCTGTGTGTGGTGGTGTGGGGGGGGCGGTGAAAAGTATTGATGGGTATGAAAAAATTACACAACCCATGAGCACATACAGATGTCAGCGGTCACTGTTATTAGAGCACACAGGGTAATGGGTTATTAGAGCACACAGGTAATGAAAGATGACATTAGGGCCCCCAAAATTGCCTCTGTCTCTTGGAAGTGGGCCCGAAGTGGGTCTGATAGCCCAGGTCTCATCTCCCCTCCTTCCTCAGAATTAAGGGTCAGGGCTTTGAGTCTGCACTCTGTTGCCCTGGCCCAGATTGCAGGCATGCATCTGCCACCCCAGTACAGACCCTGCTTCCTTCCTTCCTCGCAGATAAACGGGCCTTCTTCATCATCTGCACCTCCGAGTTGGGCCCACCCCAGATTTATGAGCTGGTTGCATTGACATCATCAGACAAGAACACGTGAGAATTGATTGAGGGGTCACACATAACCACCGCCCCCTTGGGACCAGGGTGGTGTGTATGAGGATGGTGGGCATTGAGGCCTGGGCTGGGCCCCCAAGCCAACACCGGGTGGGGAGATGGGAAGGGAAGCGATAGGTAGGCCAGATGTCAAGGGACCTGTCCCTTCCCCGCACATAAGGAGAATCTGAGTTCCTAGCATCTTCCACCCATTGCTGTGGCTTCTTTCCTTTCTGTCCCCACTCTTCCCCTTCCCCATCAAGCATTTTAACTGCGTCCATTCTCCTCACATTTTGCTTCCAGGACCACTGCCCCACCCTGTACTCCCTAGCTATTCATGGAACACAGACAGGTTGAGTCAGACAGTTTTGTCAATCTGAGGCTGCTTTTCTCTAAAATGTGGATAATGCTACCTCTTTGAGGGTTATTTTGAGAAAAAGAAATGTATAAATGCTTAGCACAGAGCCTGACAGAGGGTAGATCTTCAATATTTGGTAGTTGCAAATAATCTAACCCCAAGGAAGCCACCAGTCAGGACTCGAGAGGTGGGAACCTGCCAGGCAAAGAGTCTAGGGGCATGGAGAAGGCTTGAAAGCTCAGAGCAGCAGGCTTAGTAGGGGGAGGTTGGGAGTGCCCTTGTCTTGTTCTCACACCGGGTATTTCTGTTCCTGCCGAGGAACAGATGGATGGAGCTCTTAGAAGAGGCTGTGCGGAACGCCACCAGGCACCCCGGAGTGGCCCCAATGCCTGTCCATCCCCCACCCCCAGGCCCCCAGGAGTCAGCCCACCAGAGCCCGGCACCCAGCAGGTGCAGTGCTTAGCTCTCCTAGCCCTCTGCCCAGCCCCTCTCCAAGTTGCTTGTTTTTGGCTATTTCTAAGGCCTTCACCCCCAGGGATATGCAGCACCCCCTCAACAAGAAAATGTTAGAAGGAGATAGATACCTATAGGCTCCAGCAGAGGGGGGAACATCGCCATACCTGTCTGCCTCCTGTGCCCATCTTGCCTCCTCCCACCTGACAGGAATGCAGACCGTGCCTGAGGTTGGGGCGGGGGTATAAAGCCAGGGACAGGGACAAGTTCAGCCAGCATTCCCTTCCTCTCCAGGTTGCTACTCTCCAGGTTGAAGCCTGCTACTGCCCTCCTTGGACCCCACTCCTTTGTTGCCCCCTCTAACTCGGGGGTCCAGGGTGGAATTTCATAACAACTCCATATCCTGGCCAGAAGAAGGTCAGTTCACTGCAGCATGTTCCTCTCTTACCCCTGATTGGTTGTTTCCCTCAGGGTAGGACTGGATGACTCAGAAGTGTTCCACAGAACTTGTTCAGAACCAGAACCTGAGGAACTGCCTGGAGGTAAGGGCCCTGAACTCTTGTGAGGGCCCCATCCAAGTCATACTTTATAGACAGAAGTAGGGAAGTGGTCAGGAGTGGGGTTGGGGGGGTTGTCAATGTGGGAGTGATAAGAGAGATCCAAGGGGAAAAGCCACACAAGACCAAGTTAGGCAGAGCTCTGAACATCAGGGCCAGAGGGATGTGGTTTTGCTAAGAGTAAGGCGGAAACAACATGAGGAAGGCAGTTGGGAAGAGGAAAGAAACAGACTAAGAGCGTAGACTAGCTCATTTGAACAGGGATTCCACCCTGACTCTGGGTGATAGGTATTTAGAAGAGAGAATGGGGAAGGGTCCAGAGCCCTGCTTCCTTCAACCAGGGCTGATTGATGAGAATGGGAACAAAACCATCAGAAAAGAGGTGGGAGCTCAAAGGGTTTAAGACCATTCCTGGGATGGAACTATTGTTGTTATGTGCCATCGAGTCGGACCCGACTCATAGTGACCCCTCCTTGGGTTTCTGAGGCAGTGTCACTACAGAAGTAGATTGCCCAACCTTCCTTCCGAGGAGTGGCTGGTGGGTTTGAACCAGCAGCCTTCTGGTTAGCAGTCAAGTGCCTTAGGCACTAGGCTACCAGAGCTTCTCTGGATGGAACTAGAAGGGAACTAAACAGAATTCTCATTGAGAGTTTGTGTGTGAAATTACTTAGGGTCTTATGTTTCAAAATAAATCATGGGCTCCCTGGCTGGGTCCTTATTCTGTTTCCCTCTGGTCTTCCCCCTGACTTCTCTCACACCTTCAAGTCTGCTCTCATGTCATCTTTGCAGCAATACCTTCTCTAACAAGCCTTCTTGAACCCCTCAGCCCGACTTTTGTTTATCTTCTTCTCTTCCAGAGCACTTAACACCTTCTAACAAACTATATGATTTACTTGATTATTTTTCATGATTTCTGTGTGTCCCTCTGTTAGAATTTAAATCTCCTTAAAGGCAAGAACTTTGTTTTGTTCACTGATGTATACTGAGAGCCTAGAACAGCACCTGCCCATAATAGGTACTCAGTAAACATTTGAATGAATCACTGTTCCCAGCCCAGGGACTATGGGTGATAGCAATGTTACACCTGTAGGAAAGCCTGCTCAGATCAGGTTCAGTTCTCAACACGTCTGTATCTTCACTCCAGTGTTCCAAACTTGAGGGTGGTAGAAGATGCTCAGGATCTCAGGGACCTGAATGTGGCCTGGTCCCCTGCACACCTCCAAGGCTACCACATGTGGTTGTGTCTTTGGTGCGCAGATGAGTCCAGCAGGGAGATGACCAAAACCAAACCAAACCAGTTGCTGCTGGGATCCCTCCCTACCTGCCCTCTCCCTTTCCCTGTCTTACATTCCCCTTTCCTCCAAAGCAGGCACTGGGCCCCAGCAGAGGGTCAGAGGCAAGCACCCAGTACTGCTGGAGGATCCTGAGCAGGAAGGCAGTGGTGAGGAAGAGGAGCTGGGGGCCCTTCCACACCCTCCCTCACCCCTGGATGGAGAGAACACAGTCATCAGGACAAGGGACCCCATTCACCTGCCCCTCCCAGGCCCTCTGTTTATGGAAGGACTCGCTGAGTCAGCCCTAGAAGATGGTGAGTGCCTCAGGGACCCTGCCATCAGCTGCATAATGCCCCGGTAGCATGGCTAGTATACACTGGCAGGCATCTTCACACACACATCCCCCTTGCTCAGAGGCTCTTTGTTGTGCTTGTGAGAGGCATATGTCATATACACAGTCCCAACACCACCAACTAGTTAGCCAGAGCCCCCAGCTCCACCCTGAGATTGAGGTCAGTTTACCAGGTTGGGGTTGGGGAGGAAGCAGTGGTCTGCTCCCTCTCCCATTAGTGTGTGTATCGTCCTGTGCTGGGGAAGCCATCACCCTGTTTCCTCCGCAGTGGAGAACCTGCGGCACCTGATCCTGTGGAGCCTGCTGCCGAGTCATACCACGGAACTACAGGCCACTGGGGAGGCCGAGGATGACCTGACACCCACCCCGTCTGTCATCAGCATCACTTCTCACCCATGGGACCCAGGCTCTGCAGGGCGGGCCCCCACTGGGGGTGAAAGGGACAACACTCAGCTCCCCCAGCTGGAAAGTGGCCAGCCAGAGCTGGAGGACATGACTCTCTGTTCTCTGGAACACTTGCCCCCAAGAACCAGAAATTCTGGGGTCTGGGAGTCTCCCGAGTTGGACAGGAACCCAGCTGAAGCAAGCACAGAGGCAGCAGGAAGTTACAAAGTTGTAAGAAAAGGTAAAACAAATCGGGGCATCCATGGGGAGACAAATGCCCAGTTTTGCTAGGGTAGGAGCAAGTCTTCCAGCTGCTTCCAGTCCCACCCTTACCCCTGGGACCTTGTGAGCAGAGGCCTGCACTGGATCCTGGGCATAGAGATGTAATGAGATCAAGCAAAGGCTTTGGAGTGGCACAGCTGAGGGCAGAGCCCTGGCTCTGCCACTTGTGTCTGTGTGACCATGGACAAAATGCTGAATCATCTCTGAACCTCATTCTATAACATGGGATATTACCTATTGCCTGGCACAAATCAAGTATCAATAAATGTCCTTATTAGTATTCTCTGATATTCCAGTCGTGAGGAAGAGATGTGGCTTTTCTAAAGAGGCTCAGATCCGAAAAGACAAGGGCAGTGGATGCTATTCCAGATATCAGTGATGAAGGAGCAGACCATGGGGGAATGGGAATGGAGCTGGGCGCAGAGGGTAATCAAAGAGAAGTGGCTTTAGGAAAGGCTGGGAAGACACTGGGAGTCAGGGAATGTGGTTAGGTGCGCAAGGGTATAGGAAGGACCCCCAGGCTGTGGAATACCATGGAAAGCTTTGAGACGAGAGACATCAGGAGTAGCTGGGATGGAGCAGATACATCTGTTTGACCAGAACAGCGAGCCCAAGGGAGGAAGGCCCTAGGGGCTGGGAGGAATACACTGAAGAGAGAAGGCTGGTCTGAGGAGTGTGGCAGCAAAGAGGAAGGGGAGGCTAGTACTCCTGAGGGGTGGGATAGGGCCTGAGTTAGTGCAGGAAGGGGGCTGCTTATCCTCCATAGTGTTGAGTTCTGCCTCCTTTTCCAGCAGCATTTTTTCGTTCCATCTACCCAAGGTCTGCCCTCTCCTGGGTTTCTGGGAACTAACCTTCTTTCTCTCACTCTTGGTGAATTGGTAGAAAGCTCTCTATTAGCTCCCTGGGTTATAATCATGTATGATCGTGTGTTTACTTTGTTCTTCCCTTTGTCTTTTCTCCCCCGCCCTATTCCCACTTCTTTGTCTCTCTCCTTCCTACTCTTGCCCCTTCCCTTTCCTTGTCTTTTGGTCTCCTCTCCCTGGTGGTGGTGGTGGTGTCGGTGCAGCTGAGGTAGCAGGCAGCAAGGTTGTCCCTGCACTACCAGAGAGTGCCCAGTCAGAGCCTGAGCCACCTGACGTGGAAGGCGGAGCAAAGGCTGCGGGTAATAAACTTCTCCTCAGAGCAAAGACAGTCAAGGGCTGGAGTGTGGGGCCTGTGGGGCAGAGCTGGGCTTGGGAGTCAGGCCCCTGCCTGCAAGCATGTGTGCGCACACACAAGCAGTGTACATTCTCCCTTGGCTGTCTGGAACCGGTGAGAAGTAGGACGTGGGCCTGCTGAAAGGGGAGTAGGTCCTGTACTATCAGGCTTGACTTTCAGCTTTAAGAAACCACTTACTGAGAGCTGTACTGAGGCCCCTTTGCAGGGCAGTAGGGCTAAGCAGCCTGTGTTCAGTTCTAAGTTAAGCAAGGAAACCTAGCCTGGTGCCCAGGGCCCAGCCTCCTTAACCTAACTTTCTGAGTAGCCACTTCCTCCACCCCAACCACCACGCCAGTGTCCCTGTTTAAATATGCGTCAGTGGCCTTCCAGGTTCCTCGGTGCTTTACTTCCGTCAGGTCCTTCCTCCAGCTGTCTCTGACCTCCCTCTGACAACCTAGGTATCTATAAGATTGTGAAACAGATGGCAGCTGGGGCCAAAGCAGTGGCGACATACATCAGCTGAGCTTACAGTGGGGCAGGTGAAAACGCCTGCTCCTTTATAAAGAGTCTGAAACCAGCCCATCACCTCTTCACCCCACCTCCCTGGTTCCCAAGTGAAACACTGTACAGCCCTGCCACCTCTTCTTAGCACCCACCACTGTGCATCTTCCCTGGTGTGTATCAAGCTGAGCAACACTGCCATCTAGAAGATTCTCCAGGGAACAGCATAGGAATCTCGTAGGCAGAGTACAGTCACCTTGCTTTGGGGCCCTCTGGCCCTGTTCTGTCAGTCTGCATGGGGAACACTAAGGGGAGTGGGGAATGGCTGAGAGTCTGTATTTGCCTCCTAATCCCTTTCTCTTGCTGTGGGGCACAGGGAACTGTTTTTACGTCAGCATGCCAACAGCAGCCTTAGTCTCAAGCGCTGACCCTTCAGAGGTACCCACCAGCTCCACTCCGCCTGACAGCCTCCCTACCTGCCAGACAGAGCCTCGTCCCCAGCTGCAGGGAAGCAATGGAGATCAAAGACGTCCTAACCGCTCTTCCCCCAGCCTGGCCCTCAGGGACGTGGGCATGATCTTCCGTACCATTGAGCAGCTCACTCTTAAGCTCAACAGGCTCAAGGTGAGGTTAACAGAGTTTGGGTCCCTGGAGGCCTCAGTCAGTCACCCAAGACTGTTCCCTGTGAGAGAAGTGTGTGTCTAGATCCTGTCCTACCATGTCCAGCCAGCCATCTTCCATCACAGCCCCATCCCCAGGGCCCAGCACTGGGGCCTTCTGAATAGAAGGACTTGAGTGCAAACACTGCCCCTCTTTCAGGACATGGAGCTGGCCCACAGAGAGTTGCTGAAGTCCTTTGGTGGAGAGTCATCTGGTGGCACAACACCCGTGGGCAGTTTGCACACAGAGGCAGCAAGGTGGACAGACAGTTCCCTTTCACCACTAGCCAAGGAGCCTCTGGTCTCTGACTGCAGGGAGAGCCATAAACCAAGGCCCTGCCCTGAGGACGGTGAGTGAAGCTATTCCTTCTTTGTACCTACCCTGGGGAAGAAGTCCACCAGCTAGTGAGGAAATGTCGCCAACCAGTGTGAGGAGAGAGGAGGTGGTTCTGGGAGTCTCATGCCCCCCTTGGGTATAACGGAACTATTGCCTGTACTTCAGAAAGGAATCTTTTTAAGGAAATCCCACAGAAGCTTGCCTAAAAATGAGAAACTTAGAATTGAACCCTCTTTCCTTGGGCTATGGAAATCAACCAAGGGGAGCCTGGCCTCATGTCTAAAACCCATTCTTATTAAGTAGTTCAGAATGAGATTGGTTGGCCAAGAACATGGTTATGTTCTAACTCAGGAAGATAGGATTTTGAGGGCTGGCAGAACAAAAGTGGGATTTAGTGGCCAGCCCTTTTCAGGCCCCACAATAGGGTCTCTGGTGGAGGATAGTACCTTGTCATCAGTGGATAGTGCTGAATGAGCTGTGCATGAGCTTTGGGACTTTGCTGGCAAAGCATATGGGGAGGCTCAGCTCTGAAGGCCATCATTTCCTCCTATCACCATCTCTGCTCATCCTCCCACAGGCTCTGATACCCCCCTCGAAGACAGGGCAGCAGCCACAGCCACAGCCACATCACCAGGACCGTAACCACCTGAACCACCAAATTTTCTGTGTCCTCCTCCCCGCATCAGGAACTGGCCTGAGGCAGGGGTACAGGGTGGGGAGCCCCAGACCTCCTCCTTGTGTAGAGAAGGTAGACCTTCTCCCTAGTGGTGGAACTGGGATTTAGCTAATGCCTGGGAGGGAGTCCTGCATGTTGCTTGGTCTACTCTGATCTCAAGTTTCAGTGTCTGTTCCTATCCCTTCAGCCCAGCCTCTCAAGACCTCATATCTCCTAAGCATGCTGACTGCATCTGAACGGCCCGCACTCAAAACTCTGTCCCCCCTCGCCCCACATGTGCTTGTTCACCCATGTGGGGGCCCTCAGACATGCAAGTGAAAGGAGGAGTCTTCTGTGTAAATGCACTTTCTTCCTCCCCTTCCTTTCTCCACAGGACCCCACGGCTGAGGGGGTGCCTCCACTCCTTTGTCACTTTGGTTTCCTATAAATATGTATGTATTATATGTGCATTTTTTATTGTAAATAACTTCGACCTTTTTTGTTTCTGTTCCTGGAGTACTGGAGGCAGTTACGGATAGGACTGCTAAGGGAAGAGGGAGCTCACTTGTATCTCCTAGGTAACGGCCCCTTTCCCAAACCCCAGTCCAACTCCAGGATCAGGGTCGAAAGGTAGAGCCAGACCTGAGTGTCCCTGTCCCCTGTGGGTGGGAATGTTGGTAAGAGCTGGTCCCACAGCTCCTGGCCCACGGGCTACCCCCAGGCCCAGCCGGTGGCCTTGGCACTGAGCTGCTTGCCCCATCCTAGAGCTTCTCATCTTCCAACTTGGGGACATGTGGGGAGTTCCTTACTCACCTGTGTCTACCCTTCCCCACCCTGTCCTTGTAGAAAACCAGTGTATCAGGTACGGAGCTGAAAACTGGGCCCCAGGAGGTAGGGGGCAAGGGATACAAATGCTGGAGTCCCTGAATTAACCCAGGACCATCCCCAGGGCCAGCAGCATTGGCCCTATTACCATGTCCTTGCTCCTTTCCCCACTGACTAATAGAATATACACACTGTGCTAGGTGTATATATACATATATATATATATAAATATATATATATAATATATAAAATACAGATATGGAAATGACTGTTTTGCTGTTAAGATAATGTATACTCTTATTTTCTTCCTTTCATGGTTAAGTTTTTTTGTTTTTGTTTTTTAAAGAAAAGTTAAATATTCTTCAACTGTGGTGGTGTGTGTGATTCTTGGAACCGCTGTGATAAAAGATAATGTGGTGGTCTTCCCTGTGAGGCTGGTTAAAATTGAATAGAAAGAACAGAAAAAAGTCCCCTCACCTCCCTCTCCTGGATCAAGCCCCCAAACCCAGATCTCACCATATTCTTTCCCAAAGCTTCACGTCCATACTCGCTAAACTGGGGACTATGCAAATTTAATAACCCCCAGGACAAAACAAGACTTTCATTTCTACACACACACACACACACACACAGAGCAGTGGACCAGAGTCAAGACAGCACATGAGCTGACCTTACGAGCTTTAGGCGGAACATAAGGGGAGGACCCTCCCACTTCCTCCTGTCACCATCCCTCTGCGTCCTCCCACATGCTCTGACACCCCAGAAGACAGGGCAGCAGCATAGCCACACCACCAAGACTATAACCATCTGTCCATATCATGTCTGTCTCTCTTGTCTTAATTGTTGGATTAAGTGACATTATTTTTCAGCCCTAAATATCTAGTATTCTAACTCTGAAACCTAACATAATACTAGGTTTGGCCCTTGTGAGCTTACAGTCTAGCTGGGCATCAGAGTTAATGCACAAGTCATTAGTGAGAAACAGTGTGGATAAGGATAAGGGCTATAAGGATTCAGACAGCTTTAGAAGGATATGGGCAGGGATAACTTGGACTGACTTGACCATCATCAAGCACCTGCAGTGTGTTCAGTATTGAGAATCCAAAGAGATGATAGATTTTCTCTGGAGAACCTCACCAGCCACCTGCAGGAAAGGCAGGGAGGCAGCTCAGGCAGTCAGACCATGAAGGCTGAGAGCACTCAGAGGCTGAAAGGCCTGTGAGAGCAACAGTTCACAGAGAGCAGAACAAGAAGTTCTGGGTAGGGCATGCAGAACCCTGTTAAGGCTACAGATTGAGGGAAGTGGGGACTGAAGGAATGTGGGACAGGTTAAATCTACCCAAAGGTGAAGAAGGGAGACGAGGCCCCTGTTTACCGCCACCTTCTCTGGCATCTCCCCAGGAACCAGGCCTGTGCCCTGTGGCCACTATTGGTGGACTGTGTCAGTGGAGGCAGCACTGAGGATAAAGGTCCGGGGGCCCTGACTGTCCACTCTGGCCCCAGCCATCTGGTTGTCTGGTTTTAGATTGCTAACATCTGCAGACTGTGTCACTAGGGTTTATGTGGAGTGCTTGGACTTTCTACTTAGATGTAGGGAGGCTTAGCAACCTTTCCAAAGTGGTCTGCCAAGTCCATGCCTTTGCTGAAACTGAGCCATCACCTATCCTCCTAACCATAGTCAGACTTGGGCCAGATCAGGAGAAGCTAAAGTGGGTGGTGGGGAAACCCACACTAAATCCCTCTTTTCCACCCACTCCTACTCCCTCTCCCACTCAGGTTGTACTTGTCAGTTATTAATCCCAAGGCTCCTGTCTGCCTCTGAAACTGAACGCTGAATCCAAACCCTGCATAGCACACACATCCTCCAGCAAACACGGGGGTGGAGGACTGACTGGCCTGAGCTAGCAAAAACGGCTCTTGGGAGGCAGGAGAGTAGTATGTGGCGGCTGATCAGAGATGGATCGGGGATCGTCCCTGGCAGAACTTGGAAACAATTTGTCCCATCACTGTTCTGCCATTTCTAGCCATGTGACAGGAACAGACTGACTGAGTCCAAGAGCTTCAGGTCTAGAAGAAAATTTTGAGACAACCTCAAGGGAAAGTACAGCAATAGGCTTTGTTGCAGGTCTCAGATCTCCCCCAGGGAGGACAGTCCACACAGACAGAAGGGTTTCAGGGAGGGCGTGGGGATGGGGCTAGACGGAGCAACCCAAGGTCTCCTCCTCCCTGGGTTTGGCCTTATTCATGGGGTCCCTTGGCAGCATCAGCTCCTGGATTGTGGTATACGCAGCACATTGTGGGGAGAAGTAATTTTTCTGAAAGAAGAAAAGGAAAGCTGGCAACTGACAAGGAGGATGATTAGTCTTCTAGGAGAAAATTTTCCTGGACATAGTGGGTTGGGCTCTGGAGGCAGGGAGAAAAGGCAGAGTGATAGACAATGCAGCAAGAGGGATGGAGATTATGTTGTAATAAAAGAGACTTAGGGAAACTACAGACCTTCCTTGGGAATGGGAAACAACTACCTGCAGAGCAGCAGCATGGAGGGTAATATGGACTCACTCACCGCCAGGGACAGCCAAAGCAGCCCAGTGGGGCCCTTGGATGCACTCTTGGACTTGGAAAACTCCACCTGGTACTGCACTGCAGCAAGGAAGCCCTCCAGCCCCACCTCTGTGATACGGTTCCCTGAGGGACAGATGCATACAAAATGGCCTCTTCTATTGCCACTTGGGCTATCACCTGCCCCTCTAGTACCTCTCCCAACCTCCCGACTCAAGACTATCCTAGATCAGCCCAGTACTAACTCCCTAACCTGACCCTTCATCCAACTGTCCTTTCTGACTTCTACATCTGACTCCCCTGTCATCAGACTCCTCCCTGGCCCAGGCTCTACCCCTCACCCCAAAGCTCCATGCAGGAGGGTCTGGGATAACATGATGCTTAACCATGGGAGAATCAGGTTCTCCATGGAATTAGAGGGACCCCTCGGTGTTGGACAGGGCCCAGGTACCCTTGTGAGGTGGGGCTAGCAAACATACTGAGGAGGTTGAGATGCAAAAGGACCTTGTTCCCAGGCATGTAAACTTTCCCATCTCGATGTGCCACAGGCTCCAGGAGAGGGTTGACCATCTCCGTAGTTTCAGCAACCAGCTGTTAGGGCAGAATACTAATTACAGCAGAGGAGAAGGGGAGCTAGTCACCAGGTCATTCATTCACCCAACATACATGCTTACAGAGTACTAAACCCACACCCTAAAGAAGCACCTTTGTGTGGCAAAGTCAGAAAGTGAAGGAGTCACATAGTATAGTGTGACAGCTGAGAGAAAGGTAAGCTCAGAGGATTGGGAGCACAGAGGAGCGATATCCAAGGAGCCAGGAACGATCTGGAGAAGGTGGCCTGCAAGCTAAAATGTGAATGGTGGGGAGACATCATCAGATGCAGATAAGGAGAAAGGTGTTCTGGGTGAAAGAAACAACCGATGCAAAGACTAGACACATGAAACAGTGTCATCCTGCATTTGGGTTTTGCTAAGTGTTCCTAGGGAGCTCTGGTAGCATAGTGGCTAAAGCACTTGACTGCTAACCAGAAGGCTGGTGGTTCAAACCCACCAGCCACTCCTCGGAAGGAAGGTTGGGCAATCCTACTTCCGTAGTGATACTGCCTCGGAAACCCAAGGAGGGGTCGCTGTGAGTCGGGGCCGACTCGACGGCACATAACAACAACAACAAGTGTTCCTAAGAGAATGGATGGGAGGGAGAGGATGCTGAAAGCAGGATGAAAGGACCTTGTGATAGCCCCTTGTAAGAAAAGCAACTGACCAAGGTAGGGGCAGGGATAAGAAAAAACTGAAAAGGTAACACCCAAAAGCTTGCAAGCAGTCATTTAGATGCAACAATGGGTCTCTCCTTGTCCACAACAGAAGAATGAAGAAAAACAAAGATGCAGGGGAACAATTAGTCCAAGGGACTAGTGGACCATGCAGTCCTCAGCCTATATAACTGACCATGAGACCAGAAGAACTAGATGGTGCCCAGCTACCACTGTCAACCACTCAGGGATCAGTGCAGGAGATCCTGGATAGAGAGGGAGAACAATGTGGAACAAAACTCAAAATCAAGACCAGGCTTGCTGGTCTGATAAAGCCTGATGAGACCCCTGAGACTGGGCCCTAGTCACTCTTCAGGTCTGGAACTCACTCCCATGGTTTCCAGCCAAACAACAGACAGGCATATAGGGTGAACATTTACATCAGGCCAATACACTCCTTAGATCGCTCAGTCTCATTCATGGGAGAACAGAAGGGCACTGTGCAGGAAAATAGCTGGGGGGTGGGGAGCAGAATGGGTATGAACGAAGGACACAGGGAAGAGGTAACTACAGGGAGGAAGTGGGAATTGTGGGGATTGCAGTCTGTGAGGATTGATGTATGGAAAATGAACTTTCACCCAAATCACAATAAAATTTTTTTTAAAAGAAAGGCAACAACATCCACCCCCTTCCTCCACCTGAACTTCCTATTTTGGTTTTGAGTGCCAGAGAAGACTTCTAATAGCAAGCCATTCCCTGCCCAGCGGAGAGGAAAGGGGATGGGAGTGTGTCTCCTGATAGAGACAACAAGATATAATGACGGAGAGACCCTCAGGCAACCGGAATTGGAGAGCTGGGGACGGTTTGGGAACTATTGAGTGGACAGTCTAGGAAGATTTCCAAAGCAAGGAGCAACTTGGTCCCAGTTGAGAGGGGAAAAAGGAAGGCTCAGGGACAAAGAAGAAAAGGGGCTGGGGTCAAAGTGAGGCAGCACCGTGACTATAAAAATGCCTGCCTTCCTCAGGGAGCTGCCCAGAGTAGAGTATCAAGGTGCTTTGTTGTGCAACTGTACAAGCAAATGATAGGTGGTGGTGATTCACTGACAGCCCTTTGGATAGCAGATTGATCTAAGAGTGAATCAAAAGTGTGGGGTGCTAATGGACACAGTGGGAGCCACCTGGAGTCCGAAGAGTCTGAAGCAGGGAGCACTAAGCATTATCCCTACAGTGTGGGGATGGGGGGTGTTTCAGATGTGGTTGGAGCAGAAAGTGTGGAGGAAGATACGTGAATGTAAGTAGCTGCGGCTACAGGACAGGGCTGGAGACTCCATTCTAGGGGCTAGGGTGAAAACAAGCCTGGAACCCTGGGGGTGTCTGGCCCACTTCTGCTAAAAGCCTACCTCTGACTCCAGGAGGATGCTCCGCTTCTCTTTGCTCCCGGTCTTGGTCCCTTTCCCCTTGGTCAGCTTCTGCTCAGGGATGGGTATCTCTGGATCGACAGGAGGAGCCAGAGTGCACAGACAAGACCCATGACACTACCCAGGCTCCCAGAGAGAATAGGGCGGGGCAAGGCAAAGAGACTCCCCAGAGTGATAGCTTTGGGGTTGGGTACGATAGAAACAGAGCGGGAGCTAGGTGGGTAGGTTCCTTTTCTGGGGGCAGGGCCAAAGAGGTCCAATCCAGGGGAACTAGGGATGGCGTGTGGTGGGTCACAATGTCTCAGACACGAGGGGCTTTCCAGTCATCTTACTGCCAAGAAAGAAGGCCCAGAGGGATGAAGGAGAGTAGCTCATGTCTTGCGAGGCAGAGGCAGACCCGGAGCAGGCCTCCTGTCTCCTGCCCAGTGCACCTTCCTCCACCCCAGGAGGGGGCTCACAGAGGAGCTAGCACTTACTCCCTTTGCCTGCTTTTGAGGCATCTTCTTTCTTAGGGGTTCCTTGTGTTGGGGACTGCCCAGGCCCTGACTTCTCCTCTTTCTTGACCACTTCCTGTGGAGGATGTCAGAAGAGAGATGGAAGGCCTATCTCCCTGGCGATAGGGAACAGGTGTGGGAAAAGGCCTGGGTTGCATGAATGTCATAAAGTAGCCCTTCTAAGTCCCCACATGGCTTTCTTACCTCCACCCCCAGCTGTGTACCATGGACACGGCCTCCCTTGCCCTGTTCTCCCAGAACCCAAGGCTCTCTTTCCCACAGCACACCTACCCCTGACTTCTCTTTTTTCTTGCCCAGGCTCTTGGGGGTTTTCGTTGCCGGCAACTTGTCTAGCTTGTCCGACAGTGTAGCACTGCTGGCCCCTATCATCTGATTCTTATCACGGTCGGTTTTGAAGTCCGCATGTCGAGAGGAGGAAGGCTGTGCGCATAAATGAGAACGGATGGTGGAAGAAGTTCGGTGCTTCTTCCCCAGTAGGTGACAGCTGGCAACAACCCCGGCCCTTCAAATTCCCTGCCTAAATGGGAAAATCATGGATATGGGATTCCACTGGGGGGAAGGGCTGTTGGAAAGACAAAACAGAGGGGTTTGTGGGTGAGCTGTGGGAAGGGTTCTAATTTTCAAGAGAAAAATAGTAGCTAACTTTTATTGAGGTAAATGCCAGGCACTGCTGTTCTAAATGCATCGTATCAAATAAATTCATTTAATCCTCTCAACAGCCCTATGAAGTAGATACTATTATAACCCCATTTCACAGAAGAGAAAACAGGCACAGGGAAATGAAGTAACGTGGCCACGGTCACAAGCTTGCACAAGGACGAGTCGGTTTCAAATTCCTTACTTTCAACCTAGAGACTGCTTAGGAAACGTTTGTAGACAGTCACGACGGGGGACGGAGGGCGGAGGGAGGCAGCGTGGACAGCTGGCTGAGAAGCAGCCCATCTGGGAAGCAGCTCGAGAGGCTGCAAGTTCTGGGGCCCGTAGGGTTGACTCCTCACCGATCGCAATCGCTCCTGCGTCCCTTTCTCCAGCAAGAGGCGCCGACGCTCCACCACCTCAGTGTGTGTCAGCTCGAAGGGGCGCAGGACCTGGGCGAGGTTGGGACCTCGCAATCAGATGCCCTTGGGGGCGGAATCAGCTTATGGGTAGTGCCCTTGGCCCGGTCACGCCCCTCAGACACACCCACCTCGGCCAGCTTCAGGGCTCCCTTGTCCTGGATGCGGTTGTGGGCCAGGGACAGCCAGAGTAGGGAGCGGTTCAGCCTGAGGCCCTGCGGGGGCGGGAAGGCGAGTGAGGGGTTTGGCCAGCTGCTGTGCTCCAGGGGCCCCACCCCAGCGCACACGCACATCCGCAATGTGGCCCGCGCCCTTGTCCCCGATGTGGTTGAATCCCAGGTTGAGTGAGATGAGAGTCTTGTTGCAGCTGTGAAGTGTGGACAGAGCCTGGCCCAACAGCTGCGCCCCGTAATCGTCGATGTTGTTGTTCCTCAGAGACAAATGCACAATCCTAGGACAGCAGGGAAAACTAGTCACTGGACATCTGAGGTCCTGGGTGTTGGTAGGAATCTCAGAGAACCAGACGGGCATGAGAAGGGCCATGTGGTCTGAGGGTGGACAGGTATGAATTGGGGGTTCCTGGGAACATGCTAGAGGAGCAAAGAAGGGTGGGATAAAGGATGACTTTGGATGCGGGGACAGGCCCAGAACAAGGGGGTGAGAGAAAGGAGTCTCACATGCTGTCCAACCCCATGAGCTTGTGATATGACTGCTCCAGCAATGGATTCCCTTCCAGAGACACCTTCCTGAGGGTGAGGGAGAGCTGACAACCAGAAGGCACCACTGAGGCCAGGTGAGGGAGGAGGGCAGAGAGGAAATGTGGGTCTCTGGGGAGCAGCTTAGAAACAAACACATGGAGTCAAGGGATGGCCCCAAGATAGAAATTATATGTGACAGCTGCCTGAACTACAAACACAGAAGTGTAGCCCTGAGAAGTGCTCACTCTCCAGAGTTAGTGAGCTATGCTAGGGTGGCTTCTAAGATAGCTCCCCAGTGATCCCCACCTCCTTACATTCATCTGTTTGTGTAACCTCTCCCCTTGAGTGTGAGCTGGACCTAGAGACTTACTTCTAATAACCACAATAAAGTGATGGGATATCACTTCCAAGTTTAGGTTACAAAAAGACTGTGGCTTCCCCCATGGGTGCGCCCTAGCATCTCAGATCACCAGCTGCCATATCCTGAGGACACTCAGACAACCTATGTGTCAAGGACTTTGCCCAAAAGAGTCATTCTTCCACCAGCACAGTCTCCACACTGCCCTGCAGTGTCCATCCGGGAGTCTTTCTTCCTCCCTCACTGGCCTGTGAGTTCCTGGAGGACAAGAGCTGCTTCCCACCAGACCCTAGAACAGTACCAAGGCAAGGAGCAGGAAAGAGAACCTCCAAGGATGGTGGTGAGAGAACTTCCAGGAGGGGCAGAAAGGGCAACCTCATTTCTTGTCAGATAAGAATTTAATGACCCAGCACATACTGGCTCCACCCTACTGGCACAGGGATGCCAGCCCAAGCACCAGAAACTGGGACTTGCCACTCTCATACGTAAATCGCTCCCCTCTGACTGCCTACCTAGCCAGGCTCCCAGCATTGGGACCTCCCCCTTGCCGATTCCCCTCTGCTGACCTGAGTGTGGGTGAGCAGAGAGGCAGAAGGGCGATGAAGGTGGTCAACGTCTTATCAGTTAGTCCCACTTTCCAAAAGCTGGGGTTGGCAGGAAGTACAGAAACAGAGCTGGAGCCTCACCTCCCCTAGAAAAACTGTCCTCCCAGCCACCCGGACACCACTCTCCGCCACATCCTACCTCCTTCTCCCACCTCTCCACAGTCTTCAGTGCCACCTCTGTTCTCTCCCACCAGCCACCAGGAGTCCTATAACCCACAGTGGCCTCCCAGCCAACCCTCCCCCAATGCCTGCCTCACTTGATAGCCTGCAGCTGGCTGAGGGGAGGCAGACACTTAGAGAAGATACCCAGGATGCGGTCCTCAACCTTCCAACCTGTAGAAGGAGGAGAAGAAGGAAGAGGAGGACAAGAGGAAGGGGCAACAGGATGAGGGAGGGCTGTGGGAAAGGGGTGGAGGGGAGCATCACCTCGGATGTAGATTTCCCTCACGGACTTGGGGTCCTCCTGCTCCAGCTCCACCTGGATGGTGGGCCGGAAGAACACGTATTTGCTCTCCAGGCTATTGATGCTGCAGGATCCCGACAGCAGTCGCTGCTCCTCTAGAAGGTAGGGGATGCAATGAGAGGGGCTGGGAAGGGAAAGGACAGAACTGCTGCATAGAGCCCCACACCCCCAGCCCAAGGGTGCCCAGAGAAAACTTGGTGGGGTTGGAGACCACCACAGGGTGGGAGGCACTAGCCTGCGGGACCCTCCTTCTCCAGCCAGGCTCATCTCAGCTTGGCTTTGGAAAAGAAGAGGGAAGACTCTCTACCTCTCCACCCGCCCTCTTGAATCTATACCCATCACTCACACACACACACCGCCCTGCATCCCCACCATCTGAGGCTGAGGATAGACCAGCGGCCCTGGCAGGCCCCCGGTGGGATGTGGGCACCGCTGTCACTCACCTACGGCTGGCTTTTCCGACATGGAGGCGGAAGGGACGAAGGGCTGGTGAGGGCGGGGCCGGGTGACAACTTTGGGGAAGTCTGTGTAGCTTGACCGCATGCAGAGCTCGGCGAAGTCGATCTCCAGGATCCCGGAGCACTGGTATTCCTCTGCAGGACCAAGGGGAGTGAGCAAGGGACGCTTTATCCCAGTGCGGCCACGAGAGGGCAGCAGAGACTGGAAGATGCCCCTACTGGGCAGGCGCCAAAGTCGCTGGAGACCCGACGCCCAACCACTTTGCGTGGAACTCGCGGCCCGGAGCTCTGGTCTAACAGGGCGCCTCTCCTCGGACGCAGACGTCCAATAGTCGTATTTAAAACGGATGATACATTGTAAAGACTGAACCGAAAACTCTTGAGAGGAAACAATGGGCTTGAGAAGTAGACAGCAGGGCGACTCTTATGTACGCGGCCCCCGCCGTGGGTCTAGCACGCTCCTGCCCCCGCTTTCCACCCCCAGCGCAGAGCCTGAAGGGGCTCTGCCTCCCCCAGGGTGTCCCCAGCCCAGCCTCCGCCCTTGTCTCCTTTCCCTGCGGGAACTGCCCAGGGTTATTATGAGAAAGAAACTCCAGGCCTAGTGTGAGCGGAGGATCTCTGGTAGCATAGTGCCTAAAGCACTTGACTGCTAACCAGAAGAATGGGGGTTCAAACCCACCAGCCACTCCTCAGAAGGAAGGTTGGGCAACCTACTTCCGTAGTGATACTACTGTCTCGGAAACCCAAGGAGGACTCACTCACTATGAGTCGGTCTGACTCGATGGCATATAACAAGAGTGTGAGCAGAAGAAGGAACCCAGACGTTTCTCAAGCCCCGCCCCACACGCGCACACACACACACACATACACACCCCCAGGTCCAGCAAAGCAGGAGGCTTTATTTAACAAACACTTACATCGCACTTACTAGTGTCTGGCACTATTCTAAATGCTTTAGAAACATTATCTCATTCAAGAGTGATACAGTAAAATCTGCAAAAGCCAGAACCCTGTGTAAGGTGGAAACCTGTCAGAGAAGGGAAAAGGCAAATATTTTCCACTAAAACGAGCAATAGAAAATGGTAAGCCTCCTGTCAAAAACAGAAAATTTGTGAGGCCGAGTAAAACAAGGGAGGCTCCTCAAGTTCCACTTCTCAAAAGTTGCACTGTACTCTATTACTTCAGATAGATGCCCACCACACCCCATCTGGGGAGACCCAGGAGGCAGATAGGCTTCCTGCAGACCTGCTCTGCCTACTGCTCGGACAGCCTGGAGCCCACACAGCAACACCACCCAGGCTGGGGCAGCAGGTGCAAAAGGGTGTGTGCTGGAAGAAGCTTGCCTGGAGGATGTGGAAGGACAGAGAGGACATGTGCTGGGGGCATATGTGGGGCAAGACTCAGAGAGGTTTGAGCCGATCAATGGTGAGAGATGTTCCTCAAGCATCCAGTCAATCCTAGAACACAGGCACATGAATGGATGAAACAGGTAAGAGGAGGCATATACAACCACCACCACCATCACCACCACCAGTAGTTGCTATGGAGTTGATTCCAATCCATGGCAACCCCATGTGTGCCCGAGTAGAACTGTGTTCCGAAGCCTTTTCAGTGCAGCTCTCCAGGACTTTCTCCTGAGGCTCTTATGGTAGACTTGAAAGCCAACCTTCTGGTTAGCAGCTGAGTGTGTTAACTGTTTGTACCACCCAGGGTTTCAACAAAGAGGCAAGGAGGCTATAGGAATTCCTTGCACAGATGACTTCTGCACATTTGCCTGCCATCCTGGTTTATTCCCTCTGTTGGGAGAACCCTTCAGCCCTTCCTTGCTTCACTTCTCTAGAACAGAGATTCCAAACTTTAACATCCACAAGAATCACTGGGAGAGCCTGTAAAAAGAGTTTCCTGGGCCCCTTCCCCAGAGATTTGAGTTTGGTAGGCCAGGTAGAGCCCATGAATTTGCATTTCTGACAAGTTCACAGATGATACTGGAGCTGCTGGTCCAAGGACAGCACCTTCATAACCTCACTCTAGAGCAGCACTGTCCAGTCGAACTTTCTGTGTTGATGAAAATGCTGTATACCTGCTGTAGCTAGTAGTTACCGAATTGGATGGCACAGCTCTCAAAGGAGTGGCCCCCACTCTCCTTAGCCCATAAGCCTTCCCTCACACTAATGACCTCAGAGTGAATCTTGAGAAATAAAGGCCACCAGATGAGACTTCCCTAAACCAAAAACCTTCCTACACCTGCTCTCACACTTCACTCCATTTAAACCTGTATCAAAATGGTGTGGCAGGGCCATCTGACCTCCTCTAACTTCACAGGGGGCTGAAGAATCAAGAACAACAGCACAAGGCTGATTCCCATGAGGCGGATGTCAGACATGCTGCCACCCTCCAATCTTTTTACCAGATTCTGATACCAACTGTCTTTCTCATGGCACTCTCTACTCTGCTGTGTTCGATAATTAATTGCAGTGGCCACACAGAACTCACAGACAATACTCACAAGTATGGGTTTTATTGGGGAAGTAACAGGTTACAATTCAGGATCAGAAACTACTCAGGATACAGTTCTTAGGTCAGGACAGCCTCTTCTCCACAGTACCCACAGACAGGCCTGTCTCTGGCCCTTAGTCCCTCAGCCTGGCATATGGCCTGCGTGGGCAAGTGTTTCAAAGCTCTTTAGCTCTGCCTACAGGTAGCCAGAGGCACCCTGTGATAGTTGGAGCTGTGTGTCAACTTGGCTGGACCCCAGTTCTGTGTGGTTGTTCCCATGATGGGATCGAATGACTGTGTTCTGAGTGGCCAATCTGCCTAAGAGGAGTTTCCCTAGGGGTGTGGCCTGCTTCCAGGATATCCAGGGATATCCTGGGAAGAGAGACATTCTTTGGTGAATTGGGACCCTGGTGTGCTGACTACAAACTTCTGTGAGTGAGCAGCCCACCACTCAGCTGCCTCTGGTTCTCTGCCACTGCTTCTTGCTGTTTCTCACCACCTCCAGCATTACAGCTCTCTGTCTACTGGATCTAGGAGGTTCCTGGTGCAAAGACCTTGGGTGCAAAGGATACACTTTGCTCCCATCTCTTCTTCTTGGTAGTGGCCAGGTCCCCCCTTCTCTGCTAGCTTCTTTCCCTTTTTCTCTTTCATAAAAAGGTGCAACTCAAGCAAGAGTGTGACTTCAGTAAGGTCGTGAAGGGTGATGACTTGAGTGACACCCTCTAGTAAGGTGGTGACTCAAGATACATTCCACCCTGATGCTTCCTCATTAATGTAACAGACAACCCACTCCAACATTGGACCATAACCACAGGCATAAAGGCTAGGATTTACAACACATCACAAACTGGAGGACTATTAAGTAATTCAGTTCATCGCAGCCTGCTTCTGCCCCTGCCATAGCACACAGTAGCATCTACTAGATCCTCTGTGAGCTCGTGTGGCCCAGTCCAGGGTCCCTGTACAATTGTTACTCCTACTCCCTCCTCCACCTCTGCCCATTGCTGCTCAGACTCCCCTGCCAGCTCCTCCTCTGACAGGATCCTCCTGCCAGCTCCTTTCAAGTATCATCCTACACCCTATCCCCTCCTCCAGGTACACTCTCACCCTCCCTAGGGATTGTGTTCATTCCCAGAGTTTTAAATACACCAGAACATCAGAAGCTCCCAAAGCCACATCTCCAGCCCTGCCCTCTTTTGAGTACTCTAGACCCATGTGTCCAGCTGCCCAGATGACAGCACCCCTGGGAGGTCCCCTGTACATGCACCTCCTTCAGGCTTTCCTATCTCTGAGTGGTACCTCCATCCACCCAGTGCCTAATCCAGAAACCTAGAACTCAATCCTGCTGTGTCCCTTACTCCCTACCCATCCAACCTTCACCAACTCTTAATTGCTTCTACCTCCAAGGCCTTTCTCCAAGGAGCTGAATTTAGCCACCTCTCTGTACCTTTGCTGCCCTATCCTAACTATCACTGTCCCTTACCTGGACTGCTGAAATAGCCTCATAACTCACCTACCTGCCTCCATTCTTTCCCACTCCACTTCCATTTTCATAAATCACCCAGAGTGCTTTGTGTGTATGTTTTCAGCACAAATGGGTTCATATCTAGATGGGATTCTACACTGTTTTATCTCCCCTTCTGGAAAATGCTCTTTCTCCCGCTTTCACAGTTGCCTTCCCTGGTCACCAGCATTGACCCCACGATGTCACCCTCAGTCCACAGAGAACAAGTTCTCGTCCCTCTCTGATGGCAAAGCTGGCAGGTTTGAATCAAGGAGTCTTCCAAAAAGTTCCCCTTCTTTTCTTAATTACTTTGAGTTGGTTCTATCACTTGCAACAAAAGAGTCACACCCTTTCTTATACCCTTCCAGGGGCTACCATGGGAGCAGGACTGTGTTCATCTTGTTCACTTCTGCATCCCTAGTATTGGGTGCAGAGCAGGCATTTAAAAAATAATTGTTGAATCAATGAATGCATATAACACTCACCTCCTGGTAGCCCCACTCTGTGTTTCCAACACCCCCTGGGCCTTCCTCCCTCATACCCCTTTTCTCATCTTACTGTATTTATCAGTTTCCAAAACCAGAGCCAGAGTGTGGGTTCTGTGAGATCAAGTTCAATTCAAAATATATACACTTAGCTGATATCCAGGAACTTTGCTGGGTGCTGAGAGTAAAATTGTGATTCATATCCCAAGATTGAGCAGTGAGTTTGGTACACAGTGAGTGCATAATGTGTATTTTTTGAATACTGTTATTGTTGTTGTTAAGTGCCATCAAGTCGTTTCCGACTCATAGCGACCCCATGCACAGGAGAATGAAACACTGCCCGATCCCGCGCCA